TCTACTGATGCATGCTCATTGCTCCCCCTACCCCAGCACACCCGGAAGTTTAAATATGCTCCCTGGTGAGGCAAAATGTCTGAAAGAAACATAGATAAGATGTAGGCCTATATGTCTAAGCTGAAGCTAATTGAAAAAATTAAAGTACCAAGTCTTTGTGAATGTTACAGCAAAACTACGAGTAACCAGTGTTTCTTCTACCCCCCCCCCCCACCTGAAGGGTATGGAATTTATATAGAAAACATATAGTTTTACCAGTGTCTGCTCCCCGGGAGAAAAAAGTCTGGAAGAGTAACTGCTTCTGTTTCAGGGTGTTTCTTTTCCACGAAATGTGAAACAGGGTGATCCGGTTCTTCGTATTACGAATTTTGCTCGTACATCAAAGCCAAACACCGCTCGCTTGACGGCTCGTATCTTAAAAAGATTTAATGGCAATAGCACACGAGGAACCACTGTATATTTAGTTTTCTCGGCGCATCCATTGTTTCACGAGTCATAAAGCCTATACTATAGATATATATAATAGACTATAGACGGATATACAGGCCTATTCCATAACGATATTAAAATGGTATAATAGTGTTTTATTTAATTTGCTATTTAAAATAACAGAAACCAACTCGCGAGTACAGTTGCCAATCGCTGTAACTTAATGTGAAATTTTTATCACATTGGGAGTTCACCCCTTTCGTGTTTTTTCTTTTAAAGGGAAATAATTCATGTAATATTTTTGCTATATCATACTACATTGGTTTCGTCCCATTAAGGAAGGGAAATTTTAGTGAAATTAACACCTGGAAAAGTCTTGAAAATAAAATACAAAGTCAAAGAACCACTAAACTTAGAAGATCAACAAATAGAGGAAGTGGAGGAATTTATAAGTTTAGGAAATTGAGTCACATATGTTGGAGAGGTAAAAAAGTAGAATATGGAAAGCTAGCCAATGCTATGGTATGCTGAGGGATAGTCCTGCATTGAAATTAGGAGAGATAGACCTAACAACTAAGTACGCATAGATCTAGATTGTAAAATAAAAGTGTGCTTAGTGTTGTCGTGCATGGCTCAGAAAACAACAAATGCATTATGGATTCAGTTATAAAAGCTTTAAAGAACAAGTGCGATAGTAGTTTTTCCCCCAGACTTTTTCTCCAGGGGCACTTGAATTGAAGCTTTCGGGTGGGGGGGGGGGGGGGGGGGGAAGAAAGGGGACACGCTGGTTTAAAAATATTTTTCTAAATAAATTATATATTTTTCTATTTCGTTCCGGAGTGTGAGGCAGTGCCACTCTGGTCACTATCCATTGATTTAATTTGTTGTTGTCTTTGCAGTCACACTCCTAAAATTATGTTACACCTTAGCCTACCCCCCCCCCCCCCCCTGAAACCGAAGTTTTATTTATTTTTTAAACATGTTTTTTTTTTTAAGAAATATTTTTTAGCTCGGTCAACATTGAGTAGATCTATATTAATCCATTTATAAAAAAAATACATTGCGATTCACAAAGCAGACTTTTAAAAACACGAACTAAGTGACCTATCTAACAGCTAAAATTAAGTTTCTTACCTTCCTTTTGAAAATTCAAAAGTGTATTGTCACACTTTCAGAACCCCCTTCCTTACGTCACTCATTCCGATTTCTCTCCCCCTAGGAGTATGACGTAATTTATGGAAGATGCCCTTTGATTCTATTTGACTGAATTCGTGTGTGCGCATTATGGCTGATAGTGATCTTGGTCTATGAAGATCAGAGTTTCTTCCAGGCATCTCTTCGGAGAAAGTCTACCCCCCCCCCCCCCCGAACGAAATGGAATTTATATAGAAAACATATACTTTTACCAGTGTCCTCCCCCCTCCCCCGGAAATTGTTGACCGCCCCCCCCCCCGAAAATATCAAGTGCCCCCCCCCCCCCCAAGTGCTTATAGATCTATAACATTTGTTGGTTGGTCAGAAATGTAAAATTGTTCCAATAAGTGCACTGACACTTAGAATCTAGTCTTAATCTAGATAAACATATAGATTCTAGATCTAGATCTAGATCTAGTTCTGTTTTTTTAAAAACTTTTTTTTACCTGAGATCAAACAAACAAAAATTTAAGATTTACCGTAACAAACTTCGCCGGAAACAACCTTTACGAATTGACCTTTTAATAATAATAAAATATATGGTCGTGTAATTGGTTACTGGCAACATATTGTATCGGCACATACACAAAACGTAAGTCTTCGTGTGCATTACATTAGCAAGTTAATTAATTAATCAACATAAATATTTCGCGTTGAATTATCTTGTTTAGTCCAACAGTTTATCATTATCCATTGAATTAGACGTGTAAATCTAGTGATTCAAAGGGACCAAAGTTTGAAAGTATCCTACTCCTACGACCTACACCTACTTTTTAGTTTTTGAGTCTTTTCTCAGAAATATTCTGGATTTGGATAAGATAGATCTCTCTAGAATCTAGATCTATTAAGTCTATTACTATTCCTTTTTAAAATTATCATCCTAATATTTTTCTAGAGATCTAGATCTAGCATAGGGCCCATCATTAATTTGAAATTTGTAATTAATATTAATAATTATTAATTAGGCCTAGTAATTAGCCTAAACTCTGTACAAAAATCACAACACAAAAAAAGCTTAGGCCGCCTTAGGCCTAGGCCCTAGATTTCTTGAATCTAGATCTAGATTCTATTATATTAAATTAATATAATAGAATTAATATTATTAATTATATTTTACTAGCTTATACTCGTGCTTTGCTACTATATTAGACTATAACAGCAATATTGATTGATTGATGCAACAGTCTCATGGATATCCGCCCAGATTTCCCCTTAACCCGCAATGTGGTGGTGGTAGCATGTCCCTTGTTACAGCCCTTGTATATACGTCACTTTGGTGTGGATATGGATATTCCCTCAGCACACCACGCTGGGTGCGGGTGGTGGTCCCCGCATTGGTATGGATATTCCCTCAGCTTGGCAGCCGGTAACACTTTGGTGTGGATACAGATATTCATGGAAATGAAAAAAAAAATGAGCCAATGCCCTCTTGAACATCTGACCAGATTTTCCTCTGCCCCTATCCAGCAATGTAATTTAAACTGCCCTAGCTCTATTCGCAAAGACAAAGTGTCCATACCGATGATGGAAAGAAGGAAGGACTGACACAATACTACTGGAGACACTATATATTATACATAACCAATAAAATGTGTAGATGAATGTGTCTATTATGATAACACTATCATCATCATCACTCCTTTGTGGCCCCTGGGGAGCAAAGTGCTGCAACCACACATCTCCAGCGGACTCGGTTTTGGGATACTCCTCTAATCTGTGCCCATGAGAGCCCAGCTGTTTTCGCCTCCTCCTCAACCGTTCTCTTCCATGTTTTCCTTGGCCGGCCCACCCTCCTTTTCCCCTGGGGATTCCAGTCCAATGCATGTTTTGCGATGTTTTCTTTTTCTTTTCTTAACGTGTGTCCGATCCATCCCCATTTACGGGCCTTAATATCTTTCTCTATCGGCTGTTGTTTTAAAATTTGCCACAGGTCTTTGTTTGATATTTTGTCTGGCCATCTTATTTTGAGTATATGTCGTAAGCATTTGTTTACGAACGCCTGTAGCCTATCAGTATTTGTCTTCGTAACCCTCCAGGTCTCAGAGCCACAGAGTAGCACTGCCTTAACATTCGTGTTGAAAATCCCAATTTTGCTCCGGAGTGACAGGGCCGTGGACCTCCACATCTGGCGCAGTGAGTTGAAGGCACATCTAGCCTTGTTGATACGGCATTTTATGTTCTCGTCTACTCCCCCGTCCTTATTGATCACGCTTCCCAGATATGTGAATGTGTTTGTTTCTCGTAAATCTTCTCCATTTAGCTGTATGGGCAGATGATAATACTATAACACTACCAAATATACATCATACAAACATGCATTAGGATCATCCATTGATGATGTCGATTACTGAGGGCAGGGTGTGTGTGACATAGCAGCATTTTGTACTTACAAAAAAATAAAAGCACATATACAAAATTAATAAAATAAAGTATCTTAAGTCTTGTCATTTTTAAATTACCCTAATGTTTTGTCAAGTTATTTATAAATCTATTCCAATCTACATAGTAATTTTGTGAGTGTGATGCTTATTCTTTTTCGCTGGTACTGTTCTATCACAAATTCACATGACTCACATTTGACAGTTTTGTACTCTTTGTTATCTATGATTGATGATAATCTGTCTTGTAATCTCTAAAATAAAATGTATGAGAGTATGGTTCTCCCTGTTTTTCTGTTCATTATTTGATCATGAAAAAACCCTTGAGGATTACAAGAGTACTACTTAAGCAGTAAAATTGTATAGTAGTGGGGTCTCATGAGAGGTTTGTCTATGAATTTGTATATAAAGTTATATGAGGGTGGTAAAAATCTTCATATTTTTGTATTATATAATATGTGCACCATCCCATACTAATTTCTTTACTTAGATTGTGTTGTAGTGTGTAGGATCCATAACAATTTGTAACAGATGGCAAGCTAAATAGTAGTATTATAAGAGATAAGGCTGGCCAAGAGTATACCAGCTCACCATATGTTCATGTAATTAATAAAAGAGACTAGACTCATTGTGTGGGATTAATTCCTACCTCTGCTGTTTACTGTAAAACTGTTGTCATGTGTTAAAACACATTTTGTGTGTATTCAATTACCCTTTTCATATTTAATTAAAATTGAAGTTACAAGTTTTCTTTAAGTTCCACCAATTACCCAAAGTTACATAAATATATATATATATATTTTTTTTTTTCTCTCTAGTTCTTGTGTGTAGTTTTTCTTTTTACAGTAAATATATGCAGTCATGAATCATCCTCTATTTATGTTTGACCTAGTTAATTCACTGTGTAAAAGCTATTGCTCCTGAGAAGAGTTCATGTTAGAATTTTAAAAATGGATTTTATCATCAGGTTGAACTATCTTTGTAAATGTGTAGTTTTGTTTGGGTATACCATAATACATACTTGGATTTTGTTTTATAGATAAAAAACTTACATGAATGATTATCTAATAAAGAAAATAGTATGATAGCAGTCACATAATTTATTGTGTTTTCAATTTGCTGTTCAATATTAATTTTTTCTTCTCTATAACGTTGAGTTTATTAAGCATTAATAATGTCATTGTATATTTTTTTAAAAGTTTGAATTTTTTTTTCAATTCAAGGAATGTGGAATTCTTATTTGGGTACTTGACTTAAAATAATCGATTGTAATGTTCACTAGTCATATTATATATCCCTGTGGCACATTAATGCTGCAAAATGTGTGTAGTATAGATATTTGGGTTTACACATGAAAGGAAGGTAAATGAGAGCATGGGTTATACCAGTGTTTGATAATGCCACAATAATGGAATCTTCTTCAATAAGGTTGTTGGATTACTGGTAGTTAAATAATACAAATATGACGTGCTAATATTAACGTAACCCTAACCCAAGTCTTACCATAACCTTCACCCTAATCTCTGACCATAAACACTAAACCTGAGATTATAATACTACTAAGAAGCTAACACACCTATTTTCAGAACACCAATCGTCAAACATAAGTAATACCAATACTCTGGAAAATCAAATGTCACTCAGATATTTTATAGTCAAAATATATTTTAAAATTCAGTATCAATATAGAAAAACTAATTCATACAGAAATATTGTTTATTATAATTATAGATTCCTTGTTTTTCTGACAATTATTTTATTTTACAGAAAAAGAATGTATTTTGACGGCAATGCTGCCAGTTCCGCAGATATGCGATACTTCAACTGGCTTGTGCTTGCAGTGCAGGTTCTCGGTGTTGTATCAGTTGTTATCACAGCTGTATGGATGGGTCATTTTCGGGGAGGCTTTGCTTGGCAAAGTGATCCACTCCATGAATTTAACTATCATCCACTTTTCATGATCATTGGAATGGTTTTTCTTTATGCTGATGGTGAGGTTTTTTTTAAACATCATTTATATGCAAAAGTGACCTTTTTGATTTGATATAATGTTACATTGTTTACCATTCAGTTAACACAAAAGTATTATACCATTATTTGAAAATTTTGTCATATTGTATAAATGGATTCAATACTCTAAATATTTTCCCTTTAGCAATATTGGCATATCGTGTATTCAGAAATGACCGAAAAATTCTCATCAAGATTCTTCACGCCTGTATGCACATCTTCGCACTCATCTTTGCCAGTGTTGGCCTGAAGGCTGTGTTTGACTCTCACAACCTGAACTCTAAACCTATACCAAATCTGTATTCTCTTCATAGCTGGGTTGGACTGTTTGTGGTAGTCTGCTTTGGACTTCAGGTAATTATCTCATTCATTTATTTATTATTATATTTAATGAATGTATCTTTATAATGTTTATTCAGGTGTGGTATTATTATGTTTGTATGTGGTAGTGCACACGTTGACAAATCAAATAACTTGACAAAAATGAAAGCTTGTTTCCTGGGTTTAAGTCTAAGCCCAACCAGCTGAAATGGGCAGCTGATTTGGATTAAGAAAGTAAGCTAGGGCAGCAGTGATGGTTCTGGCAACAAATAAAATAACTTATCATGCTCAAAGACTGTTGGGTTTAAAAAATTACTTTATTTACTTTTGTTAAAGTCAGCAATATCAAAAATAAAATATTAAACAAAAAATTCAGCTTGTATAGTGTGATCAGTGTTTTGATTTTAGAATTTTAACTTAAGTATAATTAAGGCAATGTTAGAAGAAAATAGTCTAATACTTTAGAAAAATGACTAAAAACGAAACTATATAACTATTGAGTTTTTTTTGTCTCTGTTATTGTTTTTCACTTGACCATTACAGTGGGTACTTGGATTTGTATCCTTCCTGTGGCCAAAATTAGGAATGGGTGCTCGCGCCATGTACATGCCATACCATACATTCTGGGGTGTGCTGCTGCTAATCTTGGCCACTGCTACTGCTTTAATGGGTATTACAGAGAAAGCCTTTATTCATAAAGAGTAAGTAAAAACCCAAAGGCTACATAATTTTTTTTTACATTTGTTACAGTCCATTCAGATATTAACAGCTAAAACAAAATGTTTTGATAAAAAAAAAATTTCTCTTTACAATACAAAACTGTATATATCAAATTTGTGATGTGAATATAGTTTTTTCTCATATTACTCTAATTTTTTTATCACAGGGATATTCAGTATTCCAGCCTTTCATCTGAAGCAATTCTTATCAACTGCTTAGGCATCATCCTTTTGATGTTTACTGGTCTAGTTGTCTACCTGGTTACTAAGCCAGAATATAAACGACAGCCGGCCCCTGAGGAAGATCATGTAGCACTAGACAATTAGCACCAGATCTATTGGATGCCTCGTCAAAAGTATACTTTCCAATTGCTTAGAAATAAAAATTATATGGCTTAAGTGAAACTTTACAAACACCTACAAGAAGAATATCATTACTTAAGATATTTAAATAAAACTTTTTATCTAGAGATAAGTTTGAAATTGCATTCTTATTGCTAGCTTAAATCTATGCACATTTTGTTGCAAGTAAGCCATGTGTGAATTTGCAATGATCACTACTGATGGCTTGATAAAGTGTTGCATGACACAGTTTAGCGATTAAAACTGAAATTTGTAAAGTTTGGGGCTGATATTGGCTAATGGATTTTTAAAAAGTTGCGTTTGATTAGTGATTACCCTACATTGTTTACTTATAAACTTCCTATTTCTTATTATTCCATTGTCTGTGAAAGTGATTCTGTGACGTGCAGTGATTGTTTTAAGTTGTTTGGTAAATTGCTGTTGTCATGAAACTAAATGTCATTTCTATTTAATGGTTGTATCTATTGTTACAAGTGCAATACATATGAGCTCATTATAAACATTGTTTTTGAAAAGTAACCATTTCATCCCACATTGACAAATATTTATCTTTTAAGGAAAATATTTTAAAGTAAATTTATTATTTATCAAGCATAATTTTCTTTTCTCAGGAATTAATTACCATTTTGTTCTAAAAAATTATGATTTCGCTGTATTCTATATTGTAATTATCATTTTTAGTTCTGAATTTGTAACGGCGGAAAAGATGTATTAATGGACAAGACTAAGACATTAGTTTATGGGTGCACTATGTTCAGCGTTTAACTTAATTGAGAAGTACAGGCTCTATTTAGTCCAAAATCTTTCAATTTTTAAATTCTAGTATTAAAGCCATACAAAGACCAATTCAATAGTTTCACATAGTTGCTTTTTTTATATACACAAGTCGTTATGCGGATAGTACCATATAGTTTTATTGAACATTTTTGTTTAGGTTGTGTAGAAATCTGCCAGCCAGATATTTTATAAAACTACCCACCTGTATATACTTGAACAGTCTACTGACATCACCTGCTCTATTACCCATTCTTGAGTTTCCATTGTTTTTTACCCTAAACTGTAAGAAAATGTGTTAGATATAGATAGAACATACTTTTTAGTTTATATTTTTATACACAATTTTTGTGTACTGCATGATATTTATTTAGGAAGTAAACCACTTTGATTAACCATTTTGCTTTAGTGAAATCTTTTCTGATACCAATACACTTTGTAAACATGAGGTGTATTTCATTGTTTTTTCTTACTAGTTTTAGAAGTTACAGGTTGATAAACTATATCTGCTAAACATATTTTCATTTTTCTGTATTTTTTAAATTTTATTATGTAGGAATTTAAAGGGTTTATAAACTTGTATGACTTTAATCCATAATGTTTGATAATAATGTCCAGTAATTTTAAAAGTTGTAGATTGGTGTCAAAATCATTTTCCATCTGTGATATTGACATTTGTTGAAATCTACAATGTTAAATGATTTATAATTTGTTTTATTTTTAGAAGTGTGAGGTTACTGTATTATATCCATTTAATAATCTGTTAATACCCTATTCTATCTACTCTTAGAATATTCCCACGCCCAATTTGTTCTTGCCTAAATTGCTCCCTAACAGATGTTGATCTATTAGAATTTATATTTTTGTTTAAAAAATCACAATTGGCATTGTTATGTTATTGATGGATTTATTTCTCTTGTTTTTGAATTTGAAATTCCTGTGTTATATCTTCTGATCTGTAAAAAAAAATACTTAAACTAACAAGGTATTCTTTTCATGGATAATTTCTAACATGTAAATTGTTTTTAATTCAACTGTAACATGACTTGTTTGCAAAATAAATTTATGTGACGTGAAAAACAATTATGAAAAAAAATTAAAGCTTAAAATATATATTTTTTATGAAAATTCAGATTTTTTTCTGGTTCAAGATCTGCATTGTTTAATTTTCTCCACATATCAATAATACTTATTTCGTGGATTCATTTCAAGTTATAATCCTATACAGAAGATCTTATTCTCTAGTGTGTTACTTTACCAGGAAGCTCAGATCATATCTGTAATAAGAAATCCATTACATTTTGAAATTATTATTTTTTTAATTATGTATTTCTATTAATGTTTTGCTAAATGTTTGTACTAATTTTTTTACATTAGCTTTGATCATTTGTATCAAGTATACTTCTATACTGCTAAGAAGTTAGAAATTGTGATACTGGTGGTTGACATAAAAGCCAAAATTGTTGCATTTTCATTTGTTTCTAAAATAAGCTATTTTTTCTGTCAATAGCTTAATATTAGAACACTCCATGTAATTTAATTTTTAAAAATATTTTGGTTCTGGTTCTAATCATTTATATTAACATCATTCATTACAAAAAAAATAATTTCAAAAATTTATTAGAATGTTTAATTTCTATCCTTTCATATCTCTATTAATTTTATTAATTCAGGTATAATTGACTTGATAATAAAATATTGAGATGTTGCTCCCTTTAATATCTGGACAGTATGAACTAAAGAAGGAAAACATACATCACTGCTCTTTATAGGATGAATTAAATAAAAAAAATATCATATTTGTGAGATTTAAGTTTTGAGATGCGCCTATATTTTATTGCCTGAATTAATTGACAAATCAGTATAAGTTTTTATGTAGAGTAACCATCAGAACCTGAGCTTTATCAAATTTTATAGAAAAATTACTGTTATTACATTAGAATTGATTTAATGTATATTTATATGAAATGAAGAAAATGCTAGAAAATAGGAGGCATACATGTATATTAAAATAATTTCAATATATAATATTGACATTTCATTAATTCAAAAAAATTTAAGCATTTTTTTTATATAAAGGTTTTATATTATATCTTATCTGTTAAAAACAACTTAACAAAAAATAAAAATATTAGTTACCCTAAAGTCATTTAGTGTAAAAAATAAGAGCAGTCCTATAGTTTTGGGTTGCTAAGTACCTAAGTAATAGAATGGTGTGGTCTGATAGTAGAGTGCACAGCTGCTAGCCTAAAAGACTCATGTATGGATTCCTGACTCACGTTAAGGTAAACTAAGGTGGCTGGGTTGACCACACTATCCATTTACATGCCACTGCCATTGAAGTATTTGGCGCCAATGGGGAAAAAGATGAAGTACCTAATAGATTTATATTGTAATAATTTAATATTAACAGAGCTGAGAAAAGTTGTTAATGCACATTCCCCAAAGTTCTTACTTTCAATTCCATTTTTTAATGTATAACATCATGTATTATTTATTAGCCTTTATTCCACGAAACTTGTGATCTCTTTTTATTGGGGTTTGGAAAAAAATGAGATTAATAGTTATTTTTTCAATTAATTTTTTTGACATTTCCCACTAACACAGTTTCATGAACATGTATTATATTCTTTAGTAAAAAAACATATTTATAAAACTATATCTAATCTAGTTTTGATCTTGATATCAAAGTATATTGATTTGGGTGATGATGCTTTTTTCAATAGCTACGGAATACTTTGTGTATTATCATTTGCTTTTCACTAAACCACACTAGAATTAATACACAAAACCCATTACTTTGATGGTAATTTGAGAGATTTTCTGTTTTTTTAAAACTTCATAATTTGTGGATCACATCCATGTAAGCTCAAAATTTGTGTCTGTGTTAAATGTTGTCCAGTGGCATTGTTAAAGATAAAACAGTTTAATATATTTCTTATTTTACTGTGCATACCTTGTCTATATATCTAGACAACATTTATTAGTTCTACAAATTGGTGTTGCTTAAAATTGATATTTAACTCACTGTAAACGATTTGTTTTTCTATTAAAGTATGTTGCAAGTATAATATTTAGACAACTTTTAAACAACCTACTTGAATAATATGTCAATCTTAGGGAGATTTTATTATTTAATGTTTGAAAAAATTAAGGGGTTGTTTAATTTTTATATTTTAGGCTAGAAATATATTGGGGGAGGGGGTAGCTACCATGTTTCTCTCTAGATACATTGATACATATACATTACGATTTGTTAAGAACAGAATAACTTTTTAAAAATAATACAAATAAGCAAAATAATTGTTTTGATAGGCTTATATTTTCTTTTTGACAAATTTCAAACTACATTAAAAATTGTAGTAAATGTATACAGTATCCTGTCTGCTGTTTTTATTGTTTTATTGTGATTTTGAAATGTGATGTCCTTTAGAGAAAATAAATATATATGACTGTTGAAAAAAATCTCAATCTTAATGTTTTTATTTTAATGGCGTCTGATGATGAAATTAGCACCCTTTTGCCATATTTTAAAAGGGGCTGTAAATCCATGGACTGTTAGTTCACCCAACATCATTTCAGGTCACATGGACATATGATTAATGGAGTCAAGGTTGGGGGGGGGGGGGGGTGTAAGAAAATATGTGATCCCTGTGAAGAAGAAAAAACTTATCTGGTATTTTGCTTTTTTAAAATAAATAATTGCTACAATTCAGTTTCTATCATTATTTTTTAAAAAGCAAAAGTGTGACATCACTCTGTGCCCCCTTTCCCCTTATCACACATCTGTCACAAAATTACAGTCCTGGTTTCCCCCTTTGGGTGTGATGTCATTTAGCAGTTTTAAATGTCACTCTATGTAGAAAACAGTTAAATCAGTCAGTAGTCTATTTTTTAAACGTTGACTGTAAAATTCAGTAATGCAGCTCAGAATTAGCCCCATCCCCCCATCCCCCCCCCCTGTCCCTGGCTGCTGCTATTTCCCCAAGCAGCAAATCAACCCAAAAGTATGAACTCCCATGCATATGTGTCGTTATTTACACACACCCCCCCCCCCCCCTCCCGCTCATTTTTTTTTCAGTAGGGCTTAGAAAAGAAAAAGGAATCTCAAAGTTAATTAACTATATTATCTTTTTACTCTGCTAATGTTATAGAATTTGATTATTATTATTTATTCCCGATGCTATTGTAGTCGATTACTTTATTAGTTATTAGGCTTTTAATAATAGAAAAAATCTGGCATAGAAGGAAGTGAAAGGAATATGTGTAATAATAAACAATGTAACCGCAGATCTAGATCTACTTAAATATACTAAACTAATTTAATCTTACCCACCACTACTCTTTTTATAGTGTAAATTGCTTATTGTTTTACTAAGTTGAGGTTAAAAGGGTTTTTAGATGTATTAGTTGCTAAATGATTATTAATTACTAGATTCTAGTTCAGTTACTAAGTTAGCCTCTATGCTACTCACTACTCAGAGCTCTTCACTGAAGACTGAAGTTCAGTGACTGAACTCTAGATCACAGCTCTAGATCGAGATCTAGATCAGGGTTCTAGTCTAGTAGATATTGATTATCTAGAACAATGATCACCAAACTCCTAACGTCACGATTCACAGTTAGATTCTAGATCTAGTAGTAGTAACTGAAGCCTAAGTCTGGCTATTGTGGCTAAATCAGTAAATCAAATCTGACTGACTAAATAAATCAAATCTAGACTACTCCTCTTCAGTCTTCAATGATCAATCTCTAATCTCTTGAAGTCTTGTTAAGTTGTCTGTAGTCTCTTTGGCTGTCTTGACTGAATGATTCAGTTGGACATCTCTTGAAGAATCTCTTTTGGTCTCTAGATCTACTACCTATACTATACAAAAAATAAACTATAAATAAATCTAATATTATTAAAAATAATAAATGCTAGGCCTACTTGCTATTATAATTAATTAGATCTAGATCTATCATGACCACTTGCAGTTTTAGAATTTAAGTGTGTCAACCTAAATCTAAGGCTGCTATTTAGTAATCTACAAATGATGATAAAAATGCATTAAGTTGTTGCAAGTCTAATTAGCCTAATAACAATCTAATATTAGGTAAACTATTATTTTAAAGTAAAATTACGCTTTAATTTTCAGCATTTCAGATAAAATGTCTTTGGTAGATATTGGGGATAGTCTTTCCCCTTCAAGGTCAGCATTAGATCAGGATGTTAGATTAAGCCAACAGCAACAAGCCTCTTCACTCCCACCTCCAGTTGTTGACCCTGGGTTCTGTCATTCAAGCCGTGCCCTGAGTTCATCAAGAGATGCAAATAGGATAAGAAGTTCACGTCGAAATCATGGTCACAGAAGTAGATCATCTAGTAGTAGATCTCGTAGTAGGCATCGCCACTCCAGCAGACATGGGCGCTACAGCACTAGAATGTATTTCAAACATAAAGAACGTAACTTTGCAGCAGCCATATTCAGTATGGGTACTATTGTTTTGTTGTGTACAGCATTAGAGCCTGATTGGATAAATTTAACTGTAAGTTATGCTAAAAATCATTTATATTGGTTATGTACATTACTTAAAGAAAGTTGCAGATGTTAAGTTTACTTCTAGAGTAAAGATTAACTGGTTTAATTATAATTATCCATTTTGACAAAACCAGTCAAAGAAAGCAGTCTCTATCTTGAGAACCTAATTCAGTTGAGTTTTTTCACAACTCACTGATTACTTAGATATATAGTTAGATATCCAGATAGAAATCTTGTCAGATATTGTGATTCCTAAAGAATTGGTGTGTTGCCATTCCCCCCACCATTTCCATGAGAGATGTATGCTGAAAAATAATATATTATTAAATATATGACCACTTTAAAGTATCACTTTGTTTACCTTTATCCATTATCCAGAATTATATATCCTACTAGCTTGTTTAAATGGCTACAGCTACTAATAAACATAAATGGTATTCCTTACAAATTTTTGCGCTGTTACATTTTCATCATAATTGTTTCTCAACGTTTAGTCAATTGTTTTTACTTTTGCGGTTTTCTCTTCTATATAAATAAATTTACTTTATTTACTTTTATGTAAATAAAATGTAATTAAGCTCTTGTTTTAACAATACAGGGTGGAGGCTGTCGCTTACTTCATGGTCCAGCAGGAAGTTTAAAACAGTTGAGCACTACACAGTTCTTTTATAATGGACATTTCTACAAAAACTATCCCCAAACTGAACCAGAAGATGTAATTTACAAATTTGGACCCAGTTCAAATGACAGTTAGTACATTTTGTTGCATTAGATTTGATAGCACTATTTATTTTTTCAACTCAATAGTAAATATGAGAATTTAATTTTAAAAAGGCATGTATTACCCCTAAATAATTAAGTGCATTTTAATTTTGTAAAGCATTAGCTTCTGATGTTAATTGTCCTTTGTAAAACTTTTAATATTAGAGGGAGGTTCTGCCTTAATAGTAAACCTTTTTCAACTCCCTTAAAGTTGGATCTTAGATTGGGAATTCCTAATTATTAGAAGGAAAATATACTTTAATTTGAATATAATAATGTCATAAACTTTTAAAACCGATTATTTTAGTCATTGTTAAATGCTTATTGCTTCTTTTTATTTCCATTGTATCCACAGTAATGGTTAATTGTGTAACGTATTCCACTGTTCTCCTTTTTAAAACAAGTATTGCCTTTGTGTTTATTGCTGTTGTATGCAGTTTGTCTGCATTTCTACTTGACTTGATTGGACCTAGCTATCAACTACTTAAGTTGCTCAGACGAAATGCTATTTTTAACATTTTAACAGGTATTTATTTGTTCTTAAAAGATTGAAGAGTTATTAAAAACCATAACTACTAATTAATATTCTACAACTGTAAACTATAAAGCATAAAATCTTCTATTCACTTGTTATTTGATACATCTTTTACTGTTCAAGATATGTTTATAAATAATATTTTTAGTAAAGAATAACATTTTGGTTGCGCATCAATATCAAATTTTGATCTAACAAGTAATGCTGATAGAAAGTGGTAGCCTATACTTTAAAAAATTGTGTAGCAACAAATTAATCTTTTTTCATTATTTTATTATTGTGTTTTTATTGAATATTTACAAAATTATCTGAATAGTGAAAATCAAACTTTTTTCTTTCCGATTAGTCTGATATATGCTTCAATTTTTTGTCTTTCATACTTTTAACAACGATTATTTCAATCCAATTCCAAACAGTTGTGATGTGCGTGACAATCAATCTGTTTACTTACTGGATCACAACAGCTGTAGATAAGCTTCAAGTATCAACCAGGGCCCATGACGGTAGTAAAATACAAGTCACGTTTGATGTCAGCTTCTATCTTGTTACAGCTGCCGGTGGATTGTCTGTCATTGCTACAGCCTGCAACTGCCTAAGAAGGCATGTTGTGTACGAAAGTGCAGAAACTCCAAGCAACCCAGAATTTTTCTACTATGATGATAACGAGCCATTGCTTCCTCCACCTTCCCCTAACGCTGACAGCGCTGCTCTGTATAACTTTCCACCTCCCCCAGCATACACCCCTTGATTAGCCAAAGATAGTTTTATAAAAAGACATGCTTTTTTATTGGATACTTTCTAATTCTTGGCATGTTATTTTTAAAACTACATTAAGATCTTAGATTTGTAAATACATTGTTTTAAAAAAAAGTAATGGCTTTAATTAGTAATCTGACCTGTTGATATATGAACGCTGTTGCCATTCTTTGTTAAATGTAATGGTTTACATAATTCTGTACATACATTTTAAAATATTTTTTATTCTGCATTGGTTAATTGATATGGACCTTATTTATATTGATAAATTAGTTAAGACTACATTTTAAAATTCTAAGAGTAATACATCAATACTCCTGTACAAAATAACCAACCAGTGTTAATAGCTTGTTTACTTTTTACACCTTAATTATAGTGTCAACCAATTTTTGCAATAGTTGTAGTATTTCACATATATTAAAATCAGATATAGACCTAATTATATTATCAAATGTGAGCAAGTTTTAATACATCTAAAATTCAAATTACCTTTTTTTTTCATCTTTAAAAGAATGATCATAAAAAATTTATTATGTTTAGATATCCTGTTGGTAGCTTGTTTATGTTGGATTACTATTCATAAAAGTGTGTTTTATTTTTAAAATATGAAACTGATATTTTAACGGTTAAGTACTATAAATTCTCTCTCTCTTCCCCCCCCCCCCCCCCCCCCCCCAACGTTAAAAGGGATATCTGAAAAAAATCAAGTTTAAAAAGAAAGTGGTCAAAGTAAAATAACATTGTGTTAATAATAATGATGTTGTTTATTAACACTCCTTACAAAAAAAACTGTTAATGGATCAACTGCCTTTTGGATATTGGCTTTTTTTTTAGTTTGTTAAATCTTTGTCTCAGAAATTCTTGAATACTTTTAGTTTACATTTCCTAAATACAAAATTGTGTATGTTAAGACTAATGGCACAATAATCTTTACCTGATATTTAAATTAAACCTGGTGAAATTCCTTACATTTTAGTAATGTTAAACTTTTAATACTTTTATGAAGATTGCATGTTTTTTTTTAACACTGACTTAACATTAGTAAAAGCTTGATGTTACTGTAATAATTTTGTTACTGTAAATACATGTATTGAGAACTTGTAATAAAGATATACTAAACAACAGTGTCATGGAACTACCTTTTAAACTTATGTTTAGTGTTTAGGTAGTATGTAGTTGTCTGGATAATGTATTTAAAGCTCACTTGTTCCTATTTTTAAACACATGTAAATTTTAAAAAATAACCACTAAAAATATGCATTGTTTCCCTTTACTTACCTACCAAATTATGAAAATATCTTAAAATTATACCATATGGAAACCTAGGCATCCATATGTTAATAATCATGCTGTTTTACTTGTTTTTAATGAAAAAAATATTTTTAAATTTCTTTAATTGTATGAGTGTAATGAACTGTTTGTTCCAGAAACTCATTTTCATCTTTTACTTACACTCAAGTGAATTTTATTCTTATTTGTGATTAAAGAAACAATACTTAATTTTAAGAATTTTTATAAATAATTTCAATTATTGCAAGAGAAAACATAAGACAAACTAATGTAAACTAAATTCACTGAAAGAAGTTTCCTATAGTTTGGTTCAACAGAAGAGCACTAGGGTTAACCCTGCTGAGCAAGCATTTTCATTCCACAGATAGATTTGTTCTCTTATTTATTTGCACCCAACTCTTAACTGGTCAAGTGCTAAACTGACTGCATTGCCTGCACATAAGGCCTTTGGCAATCAGGTCTAAATGTGCCCTTCTCTAATTTTAATCCATGACTAACTTATTTGTGAGTTATCTGGTTTAAGAATTTAGGGACAAATGATCATTGACGCACTTAATAAATTGCTTCATGACTAGCCTTACAGAAAACAAAAAATTAAGAGATGCTTCAACTATATTTTTATTTGTTACTCAACAATATGCAACATTGCTGTCAGTGTACATTATTTTTGTAGATACTATCAGTGGGAGAAATCATCACAGAAAAGAAAGGTGACTAATTATTTATAAAAAGATTTGGTATTTTTATTAACAGTAAACAAATAATAATCAAATGTTCTGATACGACAAACAGTATTTTACTGAAACACCAACACCACCATAAAATAAATGTGTTTGTTCTGATTATACATCTCCACAGGCAACAATAGTGCTCTTCTCTCGCTTTCAGCAATATTTAACCTATTATTTATTTACACTTGGATCAATTTCATTAAACCGTGTAAATAGGTATTTACATAACATCCGACTACTTTATGCATTTGCACGACTAATGAGATGAGGGTATTTGAAAATTATATTTTACTCAACATAAAAAAATATGTAATACAAATTAGAAAACTTCATTAGTTGCTATTTAAATGTTTTTTCATTTGAGGATAAATAAGTTTTTAAAACTATGTCCTATTACAAAATTTTGAAAAACTTAAGACCTAAAAAGTATTAATCATACAACTATTTTTTTATATCCCAACCTTACACAATGATGTAAACAGCTTCATAATCAATTTTTGTTGTTTGTCCAATATCATGCATCACAAGATGGAATTACAATTTATAATTAGCCATTGCCACATAATTATCATTTAAATTATTAACGTTCAACCCAAAATAGACTTTTTAAAAGTATGTAATGCCAGTGAAAGTCAGGCTTATTATTACAATAAGACCTCAGAGATGTTGGACAGAAATAAGTAGATTAATATATAAATACAAAATCTGTTTAATACAAATGCTTACACTGTTTTTTATGGCAATGTTCTTTATTTTACTTCTAAATAGCTTATAAATTAATTAAAGTTTAATCAGACTATTTTTTTCTATACAGAAATTATATACAGGTCAAAATGAAACTGAAATTATTAAAATCCTCACCATCCAACTTAAACATTTATATACACGATCATAAAAACATTATGCACAAATTTTAAAACATGTATTCATTTCAATTCTTTTTCTAAATGATGTTTAAACTGGTTTTTCTAAAAAGAACTAATTAAAATAGAGACCCAGAATAGGGCCAAAATAAATGACTAACTAATACCAAAACTGGTATTGAAATATATCAAACATAATGTCCAAAACTTCACTGAAGTGTTATTCTACTACCACTATTAAATATGTACACAGATTCAACACATCATTTTCAAATTTAAAGATTGTAAACAGAAAATCATAGATTGTACACATATTTGCTGTTAAAATCAAACTATTTTCAGTTTTAATTTTCAGGCATCCTTGCTAACTCTTGACTAATCTTTACCATATTTTCTTTTTAACATAACTCTTACAGATCCAAGTTAGTAAAATTATTTGATTATGCTTCATTAATTTGATTTTAATTCTAAAAATTAAATAAGTTAAATTTTTAAGCTTAATTTTGAAAAAAAAATAGCTGCATACCTAAATATTTGAGTTAAAAATAACATTACTGACAATTATAGAAGTGAAATCTGAAAATTATTTTAAATCAGTGAAAAGTAATATTTTTTAAACTAAATGCCCGTATCTAGTATAGCATAAATGTTCAAACAAAAAGCTATATCTATTTACAATAGCTGTAATTATCATTTGCACAGGTGAAAAAGAAAGCAAATAAAATATTTTTGGATTTTATAAAGTATATATTCTTAACTAACACAAAGACCACATGGTTTGGGAATATATACAAAACAAAAAACAATCACCACATAAATAATAATAACTCATGAGAGGGTTTTGAGATTTGGCCACCATAATTTAAAAAAAAAAAGATTAACATTTTAAAATAAAATTGCCAATGATTTAATAACTTAGCTATCATTTGAAATTTTAAGAAATAAATGCTGTATGTATAAATTAGCTTAGTGTAGATAATTTTTCTCTGTGGGCAAATCCCTTCCTGCTGAGTAAACAAAGTAAAATAACAAATTGAGAGGTAAATCACAGAGTTGTTTGTGTGTTTGTGTCAGGAGCAGGTGGAGTGTTAGGGCTTTGTGGATCCTCATAGTCACAGATAACACGATTTGCCTGGCGCAAGTACTGCTGTTGTTTATAATAGATTTTTAGCACACCTTTGATGGCAATAAAAGCAATTCCTCCCTGAGGAAAGATAATCAGTCATTATTTTAGCACTCAGTAGAATCTATGACAGTAGATAACAAACAAAGGTATTTAAGTTTATTTTGTAAGATTACATACCAAGAGTGTTCGCTGGAAATTAGACTGGACAAGGCCAAACATGAGTTTGCCTACAATGGTAGCAATAGTTGGCATGATAAGGGCTCCACACAAGACTCGTGTAGCAGAGATTGGATCAGTCAGTGTCACAGTATCTGCTGGTACCCTGGACATCCTTGAGTGTTCTGTCAACACAAAAGGGAAATTATTTTTTAAAATCTTCAACAATACAAGTATCTTATTTTAAAGAAATGTAAATGTTATAATTTTAACTAGAAGTTTCAACTTTTTAAACTATAAGGATGTCTGGTTATATAATACTGAAATCTCTTTAGTTCTACACTAGATAAAATCAAAGACATTTCAAACAAATGATGTCCCTGTATTAAATGTGCTAGTTATTGTGAGTTATAATCCAAATTCTTATCTTAAATTATCATTATTATCCCCCCTCCCACTCAAAGCATCAACAACACGCATAAGTAATGGCCAGGATAAGTGAGAGAGAATGCTAACCCAAGAATTTTAATATAGATCTGGGATGTGGGCTTGAGTCTTTGGGGTGTCCAGACAATCAACTCAACATACACTGCATTGACTATGAAACCCGATTAATCTGCTGTATAGATCTAAAATATAAGGGTGGGAACGTTAATTCCCACCTCAACCGTTTAATCCATTGTGGACACGTATATCCACAGTACTAGATGTACATGCGCTGCTTGATAAACATCGGGTTATCTCCCACGCAAACCGAGTTGTTTCAGTGTCTTCAAATAACGATGTTATTTTTAACCCCACAAACCCACGCGCTCCCACCCACGACAAAAAGTCTGGCCGACCTCCCTCGTCCAGCCTCCAGTAACCTTACACATCATCAAGAAATATGGCGCTAACAAATGCTGGGTGTTAAATGCTCGTGTACAATATTGATTTTTTAAATCTCCTCCATCGCCTTAATGGAATGTAATAACATTCGAGTCGAGGCGTTACTTCACTGGCATGTATTATTTATTGCACGGAACTCATTTTAAAGAAATGTTGAAAACGTATTTCACAACTTTCAGTTTTTATCATGTAGGCCTATATGGTAATATATATGAGACGTAAAACAATAAAAAGCGATTAAAATTTCAGTTAAGTAATTTTATAGAACGTCTTGTCTGTTTGTATTTATACTGCTTTTTTTATTGAAAAGAAACAAGATGTGGAGGATTAATAAATCAGGATAAACTATGTCCTAAAAACAGATCCCTTCAAGATATAGAATATAGGCCAATGCAAACAAATAAACAAACACACGCACGCGCGCACACACACTCGAATAGTTTTGATATGGTGGTAAAACATTTTAAATGTAGCAGTGGCGGAACTAGAAAAAATGGGCCACCCCGCAAAAAAATTTTTTGGCCCCCATATATGTATATATATATATATATATATATATATATATATATATATATATATATATATATATATATATATATATATATATATATATGTATGTATATATATATATACATACACACACATACAAACACAATACGAATATAGGATACTCCTTTCTAGCCTGATCGGGTTTTGATAAAAAAATTAAATTAAATCTAATCACAACAGCATGTCATGTGTATGAGTGCATTGGTCTGTTTTGAAAATCTGTTTTCATTTATAACTAATACTTCTAATCATTAAGTCGGTTAAAAGTATATGAAGCTTTGTATAAGTAATGGTGTCTCGTGTTATGTTTATTTTTATGTTATTTTTTTGCATTTATATTATTAACTTTAACTACGTTTCATTTTTATACTATACCATTCTTTAGTACTTATTTTTTTAAAAATAATAATTAAGATAAGTAATTGCTTTTTAATTTGATTATTAAAAATCTATTAAAAAGAGCTTTTGAGCACCCCTATTTGACTATTTGAAAAAGGGAAATAATTTATGGTTTGAACGTTTGCCTATCTTTCACACTACAGCTGTGTTTATTATTTTTTTATTTTTTTTACGCAACAGCATATCTTAGCTACTATATAACATCACTACTGTATTAGATCTGTATTCTGTTTGTTACTTACAAAACCACTATCAAGTTGCCAGTGACGAAACTAATATATATATATATATATATATATATATATATATATATATATATATATATATATATATATATATATATATATATATATATATAATCTGTATCTAAACAGAGTAATTTAGTCTACTTCATTGCAATATATAACCATTCTGAGAGAACAAACTAGACACATTGTTTACTTGTTCTGTTTTCTTACATTCTTAACTGGTCAAAAATATATAAAGACGTAAGCTTAATTCGTGAATAGTTTCTCGAGTTATGTTTATTTTTTTCATTTTTGGCTTCTATAATATCAATTTTGAAAACATTGATTTTTATATCTATACCATTGTTTAGTACGTCTTATTTAAATAACAATTCAGAGAATCAATTGCTTTTTACTATACATAGTACAAAACTATGTAAATGAGATTCGTGGGCATCCCTATTTTAAAGAAGGGCAGTAAGTCATGGAAGTTGTGTGAATGTTTGCCTACCTTTCAGACTTTAGACCTTGGAGATTTTAAAATATTTTTCTACGCAACAATCTCTGCTATATAAGACCTGTTTTTTTTTTGTTTTTTTTTTTTTTGTTTTTTTTTACAAAACCACTTTTAAGATGCATGGAAAACATAATTTTTGAAAAAAAAATTCATTGTTTTTTGGTCGGAAATGGGCCCCTAAACGTCCTGGGCCCCCCCGCACTGCGGGGTCTGGCGGTATGGTAGTTCCGCCCCTGAAATGTAGGCCTACATTTGATTTTAAATGTAGGCCTACATTTGATTTTAAATGTAGGCCTACTGGCTACAAAAATTACACTTTCGCCTAAATGGGTGTTAGGCCTAGTACTGTTAGTGCGCAATACAAGCAGCGGTCAGACGACAGCCGTCTGGTCCCGTCCCCTCCCTCCCTCTCCCCTCATCTTTACACAACACGCAGGTGATCAATGGCTATGCACTTGTGTTCCGCCGCGAAGGTGACTGAACAAACGATCGCATGAAACAATGGCCCTTAAATGTATTATACTGTAGCAACAAACAGGCCCTCTCCCTGATGTGAAATTCATGTCCTATATATCGCGCTACTACAATGAAAGCTACTAATGGTTACATCACAGCCTTCAGTCCACGCTGTGTACACAAGCTGTCTTTATTCCCTATCTACATATTGTACCATGATATATTAATAACATGACTTTCTAATTGGTGGGTCATAGCCAAGTAATTAATAATCAAAGGTCATGTTACTTCAAATTAACTGCATTTGCCCAATACCGCCCAAAGCTGTCATGTTTTCCAATCACAGTTAAAGCTGGTACGATGTACAATCCCATTTATAGCTGGCAGGATGTCCAATCCCAGTTATAGCTGGCAGGATGTCCAGTCCAATTTGTAGCTGGTACGATGTCCAATCCCAGTTATAGCTGGCAGGATGTCCAATCTCTATCATAGCTGGCAGGATGTCCAGTCCCAGTCATAGCTAGCAGGATGTCCAATCCCAGTCATAGCTAGCAGGATGTCCAATCTCTATCATAGCTAGCAGGATGTCCAATCCCAGTTATAGCTGGCAGGATGTCCAATCTCTATCATAGCTGGCAGGATGTCCAATCCCAGTCATAGCTTGCAGGATGTCCAATCCCAGTCATAGCTTGCAGGATGTCCAATCTCTATCATAGCTAGCAGGATGTCCAATTCACACATAGCTCATTAAATGTCATTGTGTCTATTCTCACTCACAGCTATTATGATGTCCTATTCCAAGCCATTGTGTCCGATCCCACTCCTAGCTATCATTATGTCAAATGTCACTCACAGCTGTCATTGTGTCCGACCCCACTCCTAGCTATCATTATGTCAAATGTCACTCACAGCTGTCATTGTGTCCGATCCCACTAATAGCTATCATTATGTCAAATGCCGCTCATAGCTGTCATTGTGTCCGATCCCACTCCTAGCTATCATTATGTCAAATGCCGCTCATAGCTGTCATTGTGTCCGATCCCACTCCTAGCTATCATTATGTCAAATGCCGCTCATAGCTGTCATTGTGTCCGATCCCACTCCTAGCTATCATTATGTCAAATGCCACTCACAGCTGTCATTGTGTCCGATCCCACTCCTAGCTATCATCATGTCAAATGCCGCTCATAGCTGTCATTGTGTCCGACCCCACTCCTAGCTATCATTATGTCAAATACCACTCACAGCTGTCATTGTGTCCGATCCCACTCCTAGCTATCATCATGTCAAATGTCACTCATAGCTGTCATTGTGTCCGACCCCACTCCTAGCTATCATTATGTCAAATGCCACTCATAGCTGTCATTGTGTCCGACCCCACTCCTAGCTATCATTATGTCAAATGCCACTCATAGCTGTCATTGTGTCCGATCCCACTCCTAGCTATCATTATGTCAAATACCACTCACAGCTGTCATTGTGTCCGATCCCACTGCTAGCTATCATTATGTCAAATACCACTCACAGCTGTCATTGTGTCCGACCCCACTCCTAGCTATCATTATGTCAAATGTCACTCATAGCTGTCATTGTGTCCGATCCCACTGCTAGCTATCATTATGTCAAATGCCGCCCATAGTTGTCATTGTGTCCGATCCCACTGCTAGCTATCATTATGTCAAATGCCGCCCATAGCTGTCATTGTGTCCGATCCCACTGCTAGCTATCATTATGTCAAATGCCACTCACAGCTGTCATTGTGTCCGATCCCACTGCTAGCTATCATTATGTCAAATGTCACTCACAGCTGCCATTGTGCCCGACCCCACTCCTAGCTATCATCATGTCAAATGTCACTCATAGCTGTCATTGTGTCCGACCCCACTCCTAGCTATCATTATGTCAAATGTCACTCACAGCTGCCATTGTGTCCGATCCCACTCCTAGCTATCATTATGTCAAATACCACTCACAGCTGTCATTGTGTCCGATCCCACTGCTAGCTATCATTATGTCAAATGCCACTCACAGCTGTCATTGTGTCCGATCCCACTCCTAGCTATCATTATGTCAAATACCACTCACAGCTGTCATTGTGTCCGACCCCACTCCTAGCTATCATTATGTCAAATGCCACTCACAGCTGTCATTGTGTCCGATCCCACTCCTAGCTATGATTATGTCAAATGCCGCTCATAGCTGTCATTGTGTCCGATCCCAAACCTAGCTATCATCATGTCAAATGCCGCTCATAGCTGTCATTGTGTCCGACCCCACTCCTAGCTATCATTATGTCAAATGCCACTCACAGCTGTCATTGTGTCCGATCCCACTCCTAGCTATCATTATGTCAAATGCCACTTACAGCTGTCATTGTGTCCGATCCGACTCCTAGCTATCATTATGTCAAATGTCACTCATAGCTGTCATTGTGTCCGATCCCACTCCTAGCTATCATTATGTCAAATGCCGCCCATAGCTGTCATTGTGTCCGACCCCACTCCTAGCTATCATTATGTCAAATGCCACTCACAGCTGTCATTGTGTCCGATCCCACTGCTAGCTATCATTATGTCAAATGCCACTCACAGCTGTCATTGTGTCCGATCCCACTGCTAGCTATCATTATGTCAAATGCCACTCACAGCTGTCATTGTGTCCGATCCCACTGCTAGCTATCATTATGTCAAATGCCACTCACAGCTGTCATTGTGTCCGATCCCACTGCTAGCTGTCATTATGTCAAATGCCACTCATAGCTGTCATTGTGTCCGATCCCACTGCTAGCTATCATTATGTCAAATACCACTCACAGCTGTCATTGTGTCCGATCCCACTCCTAGCTATCATTATGTCAAATACCACTCACAGCTGTCATTGTGTCCGATCCCACTCCTAGCTATCATTATGTCAAATGCCACTCACAGCTGTCATTGTGTCCGACCCCACTCCTAGCTATCATTATGTCAAATGCCACTCACAGCTGTCATTGTGTCCGATCCCACTCCTAGCTATCATTATGTCAAATGCCACTTACAGCTGTCATTGTGTCCGATCCCACTCCTAGCTATCATTATGTCAAATGCCACTCACAGCTGTCATTGTGTCCGACCCCACTCCTAGCTATCATTATGTCAAATGCCACTCATAGCTGTCATTGTGTCCGATCCCACTCCTAGCTATCATTATGTCAAATGCCACTTACAGCTGTCATTGTGTCCGATCCCACTCCTAGCTATCATTATGTCAAATGCCACTCATAGCGGCCATTGTGTCGGATCCAACAGCTGTTATGGTGCCGCGCTTTCAACCCACATGGCGCGATAGATAACAGAACAGAGCACAAAGACAAGTTTATCATTTGGCCAGCGGGACACAACGCACCAGTTCAAGCGGGAGAGTGTGGGGAGGGGAGAGGGACACTGGCGATATTTAATTTATACATATGATGAAAACATAAAATAGCATTTTACGTCTCGATCACAACATATGGTGAGCTTACAGAGACAAAGGCTGGTCTATTTATGTTTAGTACGACCCAAATTATCTTTGTAAAACAGATGAGGACGCTCACAGACAAGTACCAGATTGTATATATATAAAACTAAGTAAAGCATCGTGTCGTAAGCAAATCTTTAAGATCTCGTATACATCACATAAAGCAGACTATTACGGGTCAGCCTTTTCAACTATTCAACTTAAAGCTAACCACTCCGTTGCAATATTCCCATTTGCAGAAAAGCAAGGTTTAAAAACTATGCCCTAATAACCAGAAATAACTATTCAATCAATACGACCATTATTTTTTCCCCATCTCAGCTCACCCAACAGCTAGTGAACATAGCTCAAATTTCGCGGCTTGTACAATTATTCTGTTGTCGTGGCCAGTCGGCTTCTTGAATTACAAGATAGTGGTGCTGACAGTCAGAGCAACACCACAGGGCTATTCGTTTATCTCATCGTCTCGCTGATATCAACGTCTCAATACTCATCTCTACACCAAGTCCACGTCTAATAGCAACAATGCTGTGTTACGTGCCACAATACTCGGCTAAAACTGGATCTGTCTACATATAATTCGCTATCAACAATGCTTTAGTCCGTTACCCAATATTGTGTTCTGTGTCCCAATACTCAACTATGCTGTGTTCAGAGTAAGGCAAATGAGCGCAGGGTCAAGAGAAACTAACACATTACTGACATATTACTACAACTAGCAGTGACTAGCACAACTACCTTATTTCCTATGCGTTGGGCAGATACTGATCATTTGTATGATTTTCGTTAACGATTTTTATTATTATGCCCTCTCCCATCCCAATCCCTTAGTTTATGCTTGCAGCAAACAACAAAGTAAAATCAATCATTCTATTAATTACCACCGCTGCTGGGTGTGTGTTGGGAAATCGTCAGGGGAGGGTACCGCTGTGAACAGATGCTCCAAACACATTGTGTTGACTCTAGAAATGAGTGTTTGCGGAGACACAAACTTATTAGATAGTGACCACACGCTGGGCCAACACATAAAACACAGGAGTGCTTGCTCATCCATTTCAATACAAAGAGTTACCACTGGCCTATTCACTACATGAGGGCCTGCAAAAGCTGTTTCACTGTTTTTAAATTTGTATCAAATTCTATTTAACTTCCTCTTAGTCTCAATGATATTCAGCACAGAGCACTTGACTGGATGTTTAAAAAATTGTATACATCCAAAAATAGATAGGGGTTTCCATTATCAATTAAGTTTGACCTTTATATAGGCCTACAAAATGATATTTAATGCAGGGCTTGGTTTTATTTTAATAATGATTATATGCACTAGGGATTGTGAGCTCAGAAATACAACTAATCAATTAGAGTATTTGTTGCTGGTAAACATGAAGGGAATAATATATTCTTAATAAATTACATTAACACAATGCCCAAATTAGAAAAAAAAATAAAGCAAATGTCAACATTTAAAAATTACATTGAAAGATATGGACCCTATAACTAGAGTGAACCCTATGCCAAAATATTTATACAACAAAATATGAAGGAAGCTGTACAGGCTGTTCTCAGATACCTTTAACTGTAGAAACAAACTGAATTGCTTCTAAATTTTTCTTTGTGACAAAGTTAAGTTTCCCTTTCAAACCTGACGGTCTATGGGGCAAGTGAAGTAGAGTTCACTTGTTTCTGTGACCTCGGCATATGAAGAGATAGTGTGGTCAGCACTATGCCCAGCCGCCTTTACTTTTCCTACAAGAGTTAGGTACCCATCAGAGTTAGTTTGGGGGGGGGGGGGGGGGGGGAAGAGAGAGAGAGAGAAGGGGTAGTTTCCTGCTTCCCATAAGGGCCTCTCCATGGAATGGTCCAGTTGTTTCTTGTTTACAAGCTGGACATATAGATTATCACTCTACCAGTTAACACTTCAATTCTATACCCAACCGATTAGAGTGGTCAAATGTGAAGCAGGGGATTATAATTAAAACCTACTGTCTGAGTTCTGTAGGTGTTACTCTATATTAGTGCTGTATGTGTTATTCTGAGTGCTGTTTTACTCTATATTAGTGCTGTATGTGTTATTCTGAGTGCTGTTTTACTCTATATTAGTGCTGTATGTGTTATTCTGAGTGCTGTGTTACTCTATATTAGTGCTGTATGTGTTATTCTGAGTGCTGTGTTACTCTATATTAGTGCTGTATGTGTTATTCTGAGTGCTGTTACTCTATATTAGTGCTGTATGTGTTATTCTGAGCGCTGTGTTACTCTATATTAGTGCTGTATGTGTTATTCTGAGTGCTGTAGGTGTTACTCTATATTAGTGCTGTATGTGTTATTCTGAGTGCTGTGTTACTCTATATTAGTGCTGTATGTGTTATTCTGAGTGCTGTGTTACTCTATATTAGTGCTGTATGTGTTATTCTGAGTGCTGTAGGTGTTACTCTATGTTACTGCTGTATGTGTTATTCTGAGTGCTGTGTTACTCTATTTTAGTGCTGTATGTATTAGTCTGTAAAAAGTTCCAGTTCAAATGGGTTCCTGGTTGAAAAAGTAAAGCAGTAGGCGCACACAACACACAAGAGTGGGCATAGCTAAAGCATAGACATTCAAGTAGTTTAATTTTTGCCTGCTTTAATCACCTAATTGCTAACTGCACACATGTAATTCCAAGAGTTAAAAAGTGAAGTACTCACCATCTGGAAACAAGTAGTTTATAAGGGGCAATTTAGAAGAATGCTTGCGCCAAACTCTGAGCACATAATCCTCCCATCTGACCATCTTGCCTAAAACCAACATTAGGGGTATTGTTGGGAGGCCAATAAGTAAGAACAAAGGATCAGCCTGTTCCATAACATTTAAGCCCTCTTTATGACCTAAAACCTTAAAAAAAAAAGAAGTTAAAAATGTATTTTTTAAAATAAATAATTCATTTATATAGGGCCTATATATATGTTTTAACTGTTAATATAAAAATAAAAAGAAGTTGCACTGTATTTTTTAATGGTGAATTCTTATAGAACTTTGCATATTAGTTTTCCTGCAGGTAATTTAATGTCTATTCAGATGTCTATATGCCAAGGTCCAGAAACAAGTGGACTCTTCTTCAAATGCCCTGTGGGTCACCAGGTTTGAAAGGGAACTTTACTTTTACTTACTTATAAAATATATCAATAATATTTGGGGTTTGCCTACTTATTTTTAAAGAATTAACTTCAACAAACAAATATACTTTCATTATTTCATAATTTAATTAATTTAATTAATAAAGCGAACAGTACAGCTACAGTGTTGCATATCTGAATTTACATTTCTGTTATGGAATTTTTTTACCTGCATAACAGTCACAGCCCCATAAGTGACCATAGTCCAGTAAACTGTTCCAATAAAGATGCCACCAGCTACAAAAGGACACATCTTGTATATTACTCTGTCGATTATATCCATAACATACACAACTGGACCTAAAGAAATAAATATGTACATATATATTTAGTATGATAATAGCAAATTTTTTTTTTAAAATGTATCAAAAAACTATTTACTTAATTAGAAATTTTAATTAAAAAACTCATACTGTGATAGCAATATACAGTATTAAACATCTATCTGAACACCAATGATATCTTTTAAAAACTTTCAAAAATATTATTTTACCCAATTTTGGAAACTGTATCAAATATTCTGTATTACACTGTGGGCAGGCAACTTTAACTGTACTGTTGCCTTTCTGTTTTTCATCTACCCATCTTTGAAGACATGTTTGGTGTACCCATTTTGTGGTACCCCTGCATCGACAAGGGCGTACCCATGCTGCATTTCGGTCATCCTCTTCTGTCGCAAAACAGACCCAACATGATCGCCTAAAAAGAAATTTTCCAACTTTGAAAAGGGATCTTTTTTTTTATCCAGTTGAATATCTATATTTACAGATATATGTGAAAAAATACTTCAATTAAGTGTTAAAACTATTTTATTTTAAAAAATGACATAAGTAATAATTCAAATATAAAACATAAAATGAGCTACCTATCTTCATCTTGCTGCAATCGACTTTGTGACATTTTTTAGCATTTAATCTGCAGCTACAACATTGAAGAAAATTATCTGAAATGCAGAAAGATTAAAGCTATGAAAGAAATATTTGTTATTAAAATCTATGGGGTTGGACAACATTTTAAATCATTAGAACTAGATCTACACCAAAACTACTGAAAGGGAAATGAAAGACCAAAGATTATTCAAGATGTGGAATGCTAAAAATAAAAAGGAGTATGTATTTGAAATCAGGTTCATAGTAGAAATGCAATCTCATCCTCTTTGAGAAAACTACTCTAAACAGTTAATGAGTTGAAATAGAGGATACTAATAATTTTATATCAAAAGTTTAAACCAGATCTCTTTACAAAATTAATATGTATGTAATTAGCTAATAAATAGAGGAGTAAAGCAATGATTATTTTTGTGATCTGATGTTTCAGATAATTTTATCTCTGTTTAATAATAATAAGCTTAACTAAAACTAAACCTACCCCTAACTCTAGCTAGCACTGACCATTTATGTGAATCAGCAGAGAAAAAAAAACTTTGATACAATACAATAGGGCCTACTTAAAATACAAAGCTACAGATTTCTTAACCCTACCACTTTTCTTACAGAACCCACTTTTGGAAAGTCAGTACAGTATTTATTTATATCAAAATATTTTTAAAGTATTTAAAGCTATGATTGCTACCCTAACACTTGTCTTTAACACTACACTGACAGAATCACTTAACCATGATCTTATTCCTTGTTCCTACAACAAAGCTTTCAACAACCAAAATACAATACTGTAAATAAATATGTTGTGACAACCATTTGATGTTACATATTTTTTTTCTGCTTTGGTGATAAGAAATTCAAAAGTTTAAAGTTAACGCAATAGAAAGAAGTCGATCAATCATCAGCTTGTCTAGTGGTGGAAAGGAAAATCAGGTTAAGTAAAAAATCATCATATATATTTAATGGACTTGAAATGTTAAAAGTGGTGATGGCTAGTATTAACAATACAAAAATCAACTTAAAAGATAAAAGGCAGTGTTCAAATATATAAGTACTTTACCAGATAATAGCCTTCCAAAGCAAAAGGTATGCAACAATATGTGAGATTAATGTATCAGCATGATGGCTAGACTATAAATAATTTTAATTATGAATAGTAATAGATCTGCTAGACCTAGATATTAAAATTCTTAGTTCTTTCTAGAATTTAGACTAGATTATATTTCTAACTCTAAAGAGAGTGTTCCTAGCCTCTCTTAATAAATTTTAAATAAAATAATTTCCTAACTTTATTTATTTCATTGCAATGATTAGGGTTGAATTTAATTTAAAATTATCTACATTATAAGAGAATAAAACAAAAAATACTTCAGTTTTCAAAAAACCTTTTAACACATTTCAAGGCCGCCAAAAATCAAGAAAAAGTGAAACTAAAAATCTGACATATCTGTCGTCAATAGATGGCTAAATGTTTTTTCATGGTTTTCTGTGTTCATTTATTCACAATATTTTTTTTCTTTTTTTTTAAAGCTATGTCACTCTTTAGAATGAGTTATGTAAATAATCATTAAAAGAACCCAAATTTCCTGACTTAATAAATGTTTCAAAATTTCTTAGTAGACTTTGAGATTCTAGCCAGGAAAAGGATGTGCAAATGCTGTATAGGCCTATGAGTTGTCTTAATGGGACAGGGATAAATAATTAAATAGTAGATTTAAGTAGGCTATTAATATGGATTTTTTAAAAATATTTTATACTTAACTTATAGGCTAAAACTCTTTGCCAGGTATACTATTACCATACTATGAACCTTCCCCTGACGGCCTGCCCCAAGCGCAACTGCTTGACCAAACGATGCAGATAATTTTGTCAGAAGAATAAACTAATTTGATTCCATTGCGCATAAAAGGATAAATTGAGCCCATTGCGCAGCTATTGACTTGACTTAGTCCTCTTTGCTACTTATGGAACATAGGGCCTCCAACATTTCCTTCCATTTCACCCGATCCCTGGCTATTAATTTCACAATCTCCCAAGACATCCCTGTTGGCTTCAGTTCTTTGAGAAGACTCTGCCTCCAGGTCTGTCTTGGGTGCCATCTCTTCTGTGATTATTTGTGGACATTGACATGTGTGAGAGTAAACACACATAGATGGGAAGGTCTGAAGTTCACATTTTTTTGGACATCAAACATAGAGATGACCCATTAAAAACCAGAAGTTCAATTTTTTTTCTGGTTGAGGGCTGAAAACTATCCAGTATTCATTATAGCAGTCTCTCATTGAAAGTAAATACTAAAGTTAATCAGTAGCCTTCAAGTTGTCATCCTATTGTAGATCTATATGTTAAGTCGTCAAATGATGTCACACTTGTAGGTGGGCGTCCATAATTTTGTGACGGTGTGTGATGAGGGGGAGGGGGGTGTGGGGTCAGATAGTGTGACATCACACTTTTGCATTATAAAAAACCGAATTTTAACCGTTGTTTCGCATTTTAGAAAACTGTTTTAATAAAACTGTTTTAAGAAATTGATTAAATACTCTATGTTCAGACAAGATTTTGGAAAATTATCATATTTTAAGAAAAATTCAATAAAAATTCAACTGCAATTTTGAGGGGGGGTTATAGGCTGAGGTGTGCCGTCAGTTTAGTAAGGGGGGGGGGGGGGGGGTCTGGCTTTTTGTGATGGAGGGGAGGTGGTAAAATTTGTCAAAAAAAGCGTGAAGTTATTAAAGCTTAAGGATATCCCCTTAGATAAAAATGTGGTTAAATGCAGGCCTATAAAATAAACATAATAGTAGTAGTCTATTATTTTATTATTATTAACATAGTGTAGATTAGCCTAGAGACTGTGTAGACTCATGTAGAGACTGCAGAATCTATGATTGTAGGAAAAAAGTCACAAACGTATATTTGCATGGCATTTGTTAATACTTTTATGTAGTTCGCTGATCAACTTACGATTAATTAAATGTAATGTAATCATTTTAGATATTTATGCATGGTTTCTATACATATAGTAATATTTATAACAAATGAGAAAGTAAACACTGTACAAAGGCTGTGATTGGCGCAAATCATAAACAAAACACAATATGGATGGACAAAGCAGGCTGAGGAGAAGCTGACCAAGATAAGGCCTATGGCAAAAACAACGATGATGTATTTTAACTTATTATTGTTATAAACCATAATGCTTTTAAAGTTTACAAATATGCTACCCAAAAAAATTACCAAGCACATTAATAAACACACACCCATCATTTTATAATTATAAACAATTAAATCAAATTTTTTCTTAGAATATTTTTGTGACTTTATTTCTGTGACTTTTTTTTCCGATAAATTTGTTCTTTTATGACTTTTTCTGTGACTTTTTTCCTAGCAAAAACTGACTTTTTTTCTGTTCACCGAATCTAGGCCCTAGGCTCTGGTACTTATGGATTTTCCTTTAGATCTAGTATGATGAAAAGAAATGATGATCTAATCTCAGATATCATGTGTCATCTACTCTAGAGTCTCTAGATATTAGATAAGATTCTACAAGAAGACTCATTCTCATCTAGTACTAGAGTGAAGTTCCACAACCGGTCACACATAGCGAACTCCCGACTTTAATCGGGCGCTATTTTGTAACCGTTTAACACAGACACAAACCCAAAATACTATATTATTCCTCTGCCTTTCTACTCTTAATATGTATCAATCATTTTAGATTCCTACGCATTGAATTTGAGATATTCATGTTTTAGTGACGTGCTACTTGCGATATTTTTTCCCCCTCTTTTTTTTTTCCCTGCGGCCATCTGAACCGGCTTGTGTAACGATCGTGTTTTATACGTTTTAATCCTAGTTTAATAAATAAAATAAATATTTTACACATAAACGTGTTGTTGATTGTATTATTAATTAATAGATTGCAAAACCAAATTAAAAACATGTTAATTAAATTAATTAACGACATTAAAAGTTGACCCAGTGATGACTCAAGGGACGCAACTATAATAATCATAACAAAGGGACACAACAACCACTGACAAGACATAACATTTGCTTAGATATGCTTGTATGTAGAGACACAAACTAGATTTAGAAGAAGTAGATGATCGAAATAATTTAAAACAGCAGAAAAAAATAGAAATTATACAGATTCTAGGCTTAGCTTGAAATGTAGAGCATCTAGAACTAGGCTAGTCTAGCTCAAGTCGTTGGTTACGCAGCGAGGTGAAACCACCCAAATCGTTACCCAAGCTGCGTCCACCCCTATTCAGTGTCACCTATCAGGTTGCTTTATTAGCCTTATCTATCGTATGTACAGTGTCCCGCACATATTGTAGAAGCTATTTATAGTTAACCTAGTTATAAAAAGCTTTGATTGGTTGGTTTATTCATCTCATCCGGGACATAGTGTTTTTCATACGGGGAATTAGAATCGCCTACGACGTCATACCTCGAAACTTTAAAATTTAAAAACTCGACTTCCAGAAGGAGAAAAACATAAGAATTTGACCTGGATATATTTAGAAATGGACAGGTTTACAGCAGATATCGGTAGTTTCGTATAAAACATCAAAACAAATATTGTACGAAGCGATAAACAGGCGATGGCCGCACCCGGGTTTTAACCGCGCGTGGAACTTTACTCTAGATCTAGTACTTAGTTGAGTTAGACTAGACTCTAGACTTGACTGAGTCTCAGTATCTCTGTTTTCTAGGATAGCCTTCTGGGCCCTTCTTGAATCTTGATGCCTTCTGACACTTCAATTTCTGTGTTCTTCTCAAACGACTTACAAAAAATCTTACATGAATGATCAATTTGTAACAACACAACACCCAAACATTAGGTGATTAGAGCTTAGGCAGGGTCTATTAATTGATTACTAATAATTACTATTAATTAATTACATCACATCATCATTCATGATCATCATGGAAAATACTCAGAAATCAAGATTCTAGATTTCTAGATCTAGAACCTAGACTAGATCTACTTACTTACAAGTAGATCTACAAGCTATGCCATTTTCATTTTGAGAGGCATTTGATAAATGATACTCGTAAATTCAATAACCAATTTGATACAAATAATCTCGATCTAGAAATCTGTTTTTTTTTTCTGGTAGAAGATAAGATAAGCGAATATGTTTTGGTCTTTTTTTTCTTAATAAACCGGAACTGTCTATTTGGCCCGTTTCGTTTGAGTTATGCAAAAGTGACGAAATGACGAAACAAATGAATATTAATTGTACTTGGGGGGGGGGGGGAGAAGAGCAGAAAGGGGGGGGGGGGTGTGCTGTCTATAAATGTGGTCACACTCCTTGAGGGAGAGGGGTTTGAACTTTTTTTCACGACGTGTCACACGCAGGGAGAGGGTTTCACAAAGTTTAATGCCAAACTTTTGCATTTAAAATAATGTTTTTTCAAACAGAAATAGTGCTATTATTTACGACAGACACTTCACCAAAAATTTACAGAACAATCTCTATTAATTTTTTTAACCGTGCTGCGTCAAATCAGCCAGTGAGAAAACAGCCCAAAAAAGACGACCAGAAAGTTTCTTTCAGACTTTTTTCTCCGGGGAGGGGGGGGGGAGCACTTTACATTTGGGGGGGGGGGACTAAATTTTCCGGGGGGGGGGGGGCAACGACACTGGTAGACAGATAGTAAATTATACTGCCAAAAATGTTTTATCCATTTAAAATTATTCATTAGTAGGGGGAGAGATTAGGCTACACCAAACCAAAAATGCAAAATTGTTGGAGGAATGGGGTGACACCTTCGGTTACCGCACATGGTGACATCCGATCTATAGTGACGCCACTGAGGTTTATATTTATAAAAATTGTTTTAAGTTTCAGATTAACATTAACAACACAGAGGGGATGAGTCTTTTTAGGGTAATAACATTTATTAAGCTAACGTGTTAAGTAGGCAAACCAATGAGAGAGTGAAGAGAATTGATCGAATGTATCATTTTATATACATTTTTTTCTTTCCTCTTTTTAGACTAGACAGTTCACCTTATCATTAACTTAAAGACTAGTAAAAAAAAGTCCCTGTAAAATAAAAACAAAAGATGTGTTGAAAATAAATAAAAAATCAGTTGGGTTTTATTTATATATATATATAGATCTATCTAGGCCTAGATCTAGATCTTTATAATTTTTTTTCTCATTCGTTTTACTCAACTGAGAGTGTTGTAAAAAAGCCCTTCATCTAGATCTAGATCATCAATTAAAAGGTAGGCCTTTAAATTAAAAAAAAAACTTGTTAGGCTACTGTTGTAACATTTCTTTTGAAAAAAGAAAACGCCTCATCTAGGGCCTAGTTTCTAGGCCTAGGCCTACCAATAAATGCCCCCAACATTTTTACCCAGATTAGGAAACACGTAACAAGTGGAGTCGAGAGTATCCCAAGTCGGAACCGCTGTTTCGCATTGAGCAGCCTCAGTAACACCAACAGCAGACGTGGCGAAGCACTGTGTTGTGGTTCCCTGTGCTCTTTTCGTTCTATTAGTTCCAGTGTGTCCAAGTGTTTTCCAGCTATTTGTATGTACAATAAGTTACAATATTTAAGCTTTACAGTTTAATTTAATAGTTGATAGAAATCGGAATAGTTAGCACAACCTGATTAGAAACTATTTTCAACGATTCTTTAACAAAAATTATTAAATTAAGTATTGATCAGCCGAAGTAAATTCTATAAAAATAACAGAAGATACTGACGTAGTTCAGAAGATGCAAGATGCCACACTGTACGAAAATTCATCTACTAAATTGGCAAATAGCCAATATTCAAATACTTCTTTTACTAATGGTAAATCCAACAGTGAGTCCTCATCATGTACAAATTCTAAATCAGCAGATTTGGAGAAAACAAATGATTTAACAGTTAGTGAGAATCATAAGAATAACAGCATGAATTCAAGTGTCCATATGGTAGCAAGTGAAGCAACTCAGTCGGGAGCAGCATCACTCCCATCAGCTTCAATGATGTGGTCTGTGGCTCCAGTTTCAGCACAAACCTCATCAACTCCTGATGAAACATATGTTCAAGGGATATCATCTATGAATAATGGTGGTTCATTTCAGCAATTTTCTACAGCACTTTCGATGAATTCACAGTCTTCTGGGATTTATAACTCTGGCATGGCATTTTCCTCAAACCAAGTCCAAACAGCAAATTCAATGTTATCACAACATGGCAGAAGAGCAATTACTGGACATAGCAGTGTCAACAATATTCCAAGACCGCAGACAAACCTAATGGTTAATACTTGCAGCAATCCAAAAATACTACCCAACTGGAACAATTCTCATCAATCAACATGGTCAACCCAACCTACACAAACATCACTTTATCCTCCCTGGAATGTTCAGCAACGTAGATCTGTACCTAACATGAGTGCTCTTGCTCCAACAGCCACAAAAAAGCAAAATATACAACAACAGCTGCAGCAGTCATCATACATTGTACCTTCAAAATTTAAAAGAAGTACCTCTTTTCCTGGACAAATCCAAAATTCAGGAGGTGTAAAGAATCCATATGATCTTACAAGTTTTGATGATGTAGGATATCAGGTAAACAATTTTTATCAAAAGAATTTATGAGTTAAATCTAAAAAAAATGAATGAAATAAATTTTTAACTGCTGCCGTCCACTATCTATGAATAAGTCAATATTCTTTATTCATATTGAGGTAATGGTGGTTTTGGTTGGGGATATATGGCAATACAGTTTAATTCAGTCTTGATTATTGTAATGGGAATATCATGTTACTGAATATTATATAGTATAGGGCCTATCTATATATATATAATTCTCTTCTTGGAGACGATGGAAAACACCAAGCTGTAAGCGCGCTCCCTACCACCCCCACCCCTACATAGTCTGGTGAGCTGTGGTTCACGCTAAAAGTTTACAATCGTAGAGCCGGGTTTAGTGACGGCTATTAGGGGCAGATAATTTAGTTTGAAACGATTTTAAACTTATGGGAGTTTGCTTTCACGGGGTTGGGGAAAAGGGGGGGGGGTATTGTCCTTAACCGAGCTACTGATAGTGTTTTAAAGCAAATATTTTCAGTGGCAGCATTGGTACTGTCGAATTCACAAATTATGAATTACTGAAAAGTAGAAAATAAAACAACTAAATAGCGGCGTATGATATGCCACGGGTCGGCTCGTATATTATATATTACCTATAAATCTAAAAATAAATGATCACCAATGCAGAATCTGTTTATAAATGAAAACCTTAAAAAGTTACTACCCCTCTAGAATTATACAGTGCACATTTCTTAGTGTAACTTGTTTTATTATAAATTGTATTGATTTGTGTTGGGTTAGCTACATTACACTACTTGTATAGGAATTATGCTTGCATATTGCACAAACAATATTAACTAATGAGCATGTGTAAGCCTACTGTTAATTTAATAACACACCATAAACTGCTGGATCTTTTGGGCTGTGTAATTTTTTTTTTGGAATAAGTTAATTTTTGTGCTGTTGTATTCTAATAATTCTTCTGTAAAATAGAGTTCCGTGTTAGTTTTTCTCATAGAGGCAGAGTACTTTCTAACATGAAATAGTTCATTTTCTTAAGATCTTTTCTTATTATTGAAACCACAATTTTTGTAATAGTATCTGTTGAATAATCTATTCATTTACTAAAATACTTGATCTTAATTTGTATTGCTGTTTTAGTTTTCACTTGTACTTACAATCAATTAAAAAATAATCATTAGAAAGTGAGTAAATGAAGTTTACATAATTTATTCTTACAGAATCCAGCAAACCAGTATGATTCAATGAAGTTTCCTTGCCTTGAAAATCAGCTGATTGATATAATGAAACACAATTCTCTAGAAGGAATGCAGTTACGTGGAGATAATATGAAAGGTTAATTAATTTATTTTTAACCAGATAAATGTGTGGCATTGATTTTAAATATCTATAAATTCATAGAGAATGGCTTTTACTGAAAGGTAACAAAAACAATATTGATTGTTTAGATTGCTACTGTATTCAAATCTAAAAAGAGTAAATTAGTGATTACTTGTATTTTGAGAATTACTTTAATTAATTATCATCAAATAATTATGCTGTCCAATTTCAGGAAAAATGCCTTTTGTAATTGAAGATGCATTAATTGATGATGGATCGCTCGATCAGACTGTTCCAAACTTGTCAGGAACACCTCGATCATCTCCAAGCTCTCAGGGTTTAGATCGCATAGAAAGATTTTCAAGAAAAGTATTTGTTGGTGGACTGCCTCCTGATATAGATGAAGGTAAGTTGATTTTAATACAATACTTTTATTAGAAAAGCAGAGCAAACTATTTTCATTGGATATTTCTATTATTAGTATTGTTAAATTAAACTTTTCAAGAAAATACATTAGGCCTAAAAAAATTACATTTCCAGTTGCTTAAAGAAGAAATTATGGACAAAAGTTGTTAAAAAAAAAGTGTTAAAAAGATAAAGTAGGTCTACTGTTTAAGATTAAACAGTTTAAGTGAGAGGAAGTAGAACACATCTGTTTAAAATATTCAGCTTATGAAAGGGATCTTGTGATCAGTACTTTACAGTAGACTTTGGTACCCATACATGCTGGGTGGACCCTCAGATGCCCTATAGGTCTGGATACCAAAATAGATAAGGTTTATCTGGTGCTCTACCACTTCACCATATTATTCCATAATGGCTGACAGAAGGAATTCATATAAGAAAACATTTAACTACTACATCTGCCATAAAAATATTTTACCACTGAAGAATTAATTTATTGCCTATTTGTCTGACTCATTCTAAATACCCAAGTTGAAATGTATACAAAGTAGTTTGAACCTCAAGCATTGGAACTAGTAATGTGGCATTGAAAAATGTTTTTTTAGAAGCAGCAAAATTGAATTGTTTTATTTCTAAAACAAACATCACTTTTTCAGTCTTAAAATGTATTTACCATTACCTGCCTCAACTAAAATAAAATTTTCAGAGGAAATAACCACAGCTTTTAGAAGATTTGGTGCCCTTGTTGTTGACTGGCCTCATAAAGCTGAGTCAAAGTCTTATTTCCCACCAAAAGGTAATTGTTTACCAAGCCATGTTTGACTCTTTACATTCATTTCAGTTTTAAAAATAAGTATTTGTTAATTAATGTAGGCATTTATAGTTTGTATTTAACAGTACAATTTTTTGGGACTTGTATTTTAGGATATTGCTTCCTGATTTTTCAAGATGAATTATCAGTACAAAGTTTGATAGAATCTTGTTTAATGGATGATGACAAACTTTACTGGTGTGTATCAAGCCCTACTATGAAGGACAAACCGGTAATTTATAAAATACATTACTTTAGGAAAATTTAAAATCGCGCAGTGCTTGTAATGTAAGCACCTTTTTAAAAAGTATTTTTAAAAGGTGTTTAAGTTATTGACCAAAAGTACTAGTTATTAATAAAAGAACTTGACAGAAATGATGTTTTACCATTTAACTCTAATTCCCACTGGAAAAGCCTGACAGTGTCTTTTTTGTTGTTGTAGGAAATATATGTATGACTTTTATAAAAAATGTTTTTACATTGAAAACCAGTATGTTTTTGATAGGAATACATTTTCTTTTTTTCTGTTTATATTTCTATGGCTGATCATAAATAGTTTTACACTTGTAGTGTTTGTTTTACAGAGATGTAACTTTTCCTCTCTTTTATGCAAATCCATTTTTTTCATTTGAGGAATTTTTCCTGTTTTTCCATTTAAAGGTATTTTTCCAAAACAAGTTGATTCATTCTCTATTTTATTTTGCCAATAAATATTAAGATGAAGGTGATTTTGTTTGAAATATTATTTCTTGTATGAAACAGAAATAGGCAGAGATAACATTATATTTTAATCAACTTTGGGGATACTTTACTCATCACCCACCTGCTTTTCATAGTTTCGCTAATGTGCCAAGCTTATGACCATACAAGCACAGTAGCATCCATGCTCTAAATTCTACTAGCTATTATGAAATGTTTCAACCCCCCACCTAAAGTCATTAATTACAATTCTAAATATTTAAAAAAATTTTATATAATGACTTCCTAAATATTCTTTCATTCTTTTAGGTGCAAATTCGTCCTTGGAGCTTAAGCGACTCTGATTTTGTTATGGATGGTTCTCAGCCATTAGATCCGAGAAAAACAATATTTGTTGGAGGTGTCCCCCGCCCATTGAGAGCAGGTTATAACTTAAACAAATTTTAGTATAAATTAAGTGTTAGTTAAATTGAAAAAAATCTTGATGCAGACAATCCATTTTGCTTGTTGTTGTATATATTGTTTTAAAACAGTACACAAAAAGTTATTATTTTTTAAAATTCCAAAATTCAGTTGAGCTGGCAATGATCATGGATCGCTTGTATGGTGGTGTTTGCTATGCTGGCATAGACACTGACCCCGAACTAAAATATCCCAAAGGAGCAGGCAGGGTTGCATTTTCAAACCAACAAAGTTATATTGCAGCAATTAGTGCTCGGTTTGTGCAATTACAACATGGGGACATTGATAAAAGGGTGAGTTGAGTGGACAAATAATTTTGTATCGTAAAACATTATCATAATATTTTCTTAATCTCAAGAATGTAGAATCCTTATTTCTTTTTTTCCTCACTAATGGTTATTTTCATTATACAATTCTTTTTCCAAATTTGGTTGGTACAGTAGTTATAATCTTTTATCCTTAGAAAAAATATATTTTAATGAAAATGTTAAGTCTTAAAAAAAAATTTTAAAAGTTAAAACAAGAAATCTAAAAAATTGAAAATGTATGGGGGGCATCATGGCCAGACAGGATTTCTTAAAACTGATAAACAGGTTGTAATTGGTTACAGGTTGTAATTGGTTACAGGTTGTAATTGGTTACAGGTTGTAATTGGGTGGATACAGGATAGGGAGGCAAATTAACAAAGAAAAGTAGGCTGAATTAGGAGCCAACCAGCCGTACGGCACACATGTTGACACTTACTTAATTGGATTGGGGAAATCCTCATCAGTATTACAATTAAGAAGAAGAAGAGAAAAAAAAGAAAATGTATAAATATTAGTTATATTAGTTGGAACATTTCTTCAGTCATAATTATCACTAAAATCATCAGTGTCTTGTTGCCCTTGTATTTAATAATTTGAATATATTTTATTTGGACTTTGAAATTTTAAGGAAAATTGTGTGTATTGTAATGAGTTTGTTTTGCTCAATAGTGAAGTGGTATTTGCTGTTTCTCTGTAGATAATTCATTTCTTATACATGGATAATTTTTGCAAAAAAAATCTACAGGTTGAAGTGAAACCATATGTGTTGGACGATCAAATGTGTGATGAATGTCATGGTGCACGATGTGCTGGTAAATTTGCCCCATTCTTCTGTGCTAATGTGACTTGCTTACAGTACTATTGTGAATATTGCTGGGCCCAGATTCATTCACGCCCAGGGAGAGAATATCATAAACCTTTGGTTAAAGAAGGAGCAGATCGTCCTCGGGCTGTGCCATTCAGGTGGTGTTAAAAACAGTCATTGACTTTAATTATTTTTTCATTATTTTTTCTATTTTTATTATTGCTTCTAGTCATTTTTCTCACATTTAAATAATATTACTTTTAGTGTAATTTTGTAATATTTTAAGATTGGATTAATTCTGTCTTTACAACCTCCCCCACCCATAAAATTTAGAAAGCTAGTGTAGCACAATTTATTGAATTTTAGTCTTAGTTTATTAAGTATTTCAACGAATTCACACAATTTGACGCCACACTTACAGTGATGTGAGATGACATGTTTAAAGTTATTTTTATATTGCATTTTTATAAAAAAAAAATTGTTATTAGTCCCATTTATCAGCCGTCTTTTCATTAAATTGGAAAATACTTAGGGGAATTTGTTTCCAACATTTAGGTTAAGGTACTTCATTAACCTCAAAAACTTTTTCTTTAAACCATTAAAATTACAAAACATTAAAAAATAATTTAGATAGACCAGAGTTGGTTTTATAGTATTTATCTTTTGTACAACTTGTCATATAAATAAATATTTTTCTTTATTTTTTACCTAACATCTTGCCTAATGTATACAATTTTGGTGAAGCTAAAGCAATTGCTTTTATTTAACACTGTTTGAAACTTTCATTTGTTTATTAAGCAACAATTTTTTTTAAAAATTGACATTGTTTGACTTGTAATTTTGTATAACTGTAGCATAATGTGATAGTATCTTTTGAAGTTGTATTTAACATTGCCTTTGTGAATAACAAAAAAAAAACAACTCACATATGAAATGTGATAATAATACACTTACAAAAAGAAAAAAACACTTTGGAGAGCCTTTTGCTCCCCAATATTTATAACATACAATGGGAGCATACTTAGACATTACTTGAGCTGTTATTTAATTTTAATACTACGATTTTTTTTAGTAATAACTTTTTAATTGTAGGTAATTTTGGATTATTTTTCAAATTTGCATCATTACTCAGATGTGAAATTTTTCAGATGCATGATGTTACATATAATGTAATGCTTTATTTTTTAATCTGGAAAAGCATTTCTGACCTCAAGTGTTCTTACATTTTGTTTGTACTCAATTTGTTTTCCCTTTTTCAGCAGGGATATTTGTTCAAGAATACATTTGAAAGAAAAAGTAGTCATTGAATGCAAATTTGGCATTTATAATGCATGTAATCAACTTAATGTTGAGTGATATGTAGAATATAGACTCAGTACTTTATTGCATGCAAATTATTTTTTGAATTATTTTGGTACATGTATTTCATAACTGTGATGTTTTCACCAAAAACATTCTATGGGTAGTACTGTAAATATAATATATACATATATATTTATATCTATTTTGTAATTTTCAAATTTCCCCAGTTTTCATTCAACATATTTTTGTCTCAATATTTCATTACCCAAAGTCCATTTAGAAAAGCATTCCATTATTTATTCTTTGCAATAATGCTGCAAACTTGTAACTTATTGTTTCTTTACACATAGTCCTTTTAAATCTTTTTTATGTAAAATTTTAATGGTACTCAAGGATGGTACTTCAGCTACTCGACTTTTCCAATATACTTTTTATTAAGGTATGATTAATGGTTTTTTAATGTATCTCCACTACTAACATTTTGAATAAATAAAAAGCCACAATCTGGTTAGATAACTCAGTTACATTAAGAGTGTTAATAATCAGACCATATTTGATTTAGCTCTGCAGTGTTGCATTAATTATGACAAGATTAGTATAAAAAAACATATTTTCAGAAGAATTTCTTAAATACCTTTTTTTTTGTTTTGATAAACAAAAAAAACAAACCAAACCTGAATCTCTTGATACCTAGTCAGCTTTACTGTTTCTTTTTACCCAAAAGAGTATGCCATAAACTTTTATACATTTTTTAAAAATTGCTGAATTTTTTTTTTATTGGCATGCACTTTTGTTTAAAAAATTATTGGATATTAGTTCTTACAATTTTGAAAAGTAACTTTGAATTTTAGTGCATGTTTACTGTTCATTGTTCTGATGTTGAAATTTTTACCATTTGCATGTTTTATCAATCAGAATTCACTTATTTTTAAGATTTGAATTTTTTAAATTGTTAATTTTAATTTTTTAAAAAGCCGTTGTATTAGTAAATTTCATACCCACATTGTTGATGCTATGCTTCCACTTGTATTTAATACAGTTTTTGTGTACAGCCTTTTAAAAAAAAGTGGAAGTAAAGTAGTTGCTTTTTTAATTTAATGCAAGTTATGTTTTAGAACCATTTTTAAGCTTTTTTATAATGTGCACATTGTTTTTTAATAGTATTTATCTCAATATCTATTTTTGTTACTTGAGATCAAGATTGCCATGGGTGATAGTAATGTGTAAAAGGAAGCATTTGTAACACAGAGATTACAAAAATTAGTTTATTACCCAAATATCTTAACCACTGAGGTTTATTATTTCTACAGAAATGACCATCACTAGGGACAGAAAACCTAGATTTATTTTAAATAGATATTATAGAAGTAGCATTCTTAATTAAAAGCTATTTGTTAACATAATGTTGCATTTAAAGAATTATGTGCAAAATTTAAGCCAAATAGTCCTGTGAATGTCTTATGTATTTGGTATGAAATAATACTTGTTTGTATTGTTCACTTTTTGTTTTTAACTTCTGCTGCATTTATTAGTATTTATAATATTAGAGAATATTTTTTACACATTGTTTACAAAGATAAAATTTTGGGAGGGTTTTAAAATTCATGAAAATTACTCAAAGTAGTAGCCAATTGCTCATTTTAATGCTGCTGTAAAGTATTCTTCCAATTATATATATATCTTTTGTTGTAATACTAATATTTCAAAGTTCCTGTGAACAGTAATTGTATTTAACAGATTTTATAAAAATAGGAAAATTAGTTTTAGATTAAGTAGAATTTTGTTGTTTAAGTACAGTTTTCCCCCAGCTTTAAAAAATAATATGATATTTTCATAATTAAATTCCAAAAATATTTCAGTTCATAGAAAAATAACATTGCTAATCAAATGATAAAACATGATAAGACATTTTAAAAACATTTTTCTCTTGCCTTGTTTTAGAAACTGAATTGTGAATAATCAAATTTAAGTCAGTGCCTTTTAAAAAGTCACATGATGAAAAATATTTGTTTTCTTGTTTAGAAGTTTAGGTTTCAATGTTTTGTGTGTTACAATTATATTTGCAAAGTAAAACAACCGGTTTTAAGTGATATCTATTGTGTAACTTGAAACATATAGTCAGTCATATTTTTGCCAACTAATGGTTATATTTTACATTATACTTGACATGACTAATATATCATTTGAATTTTCTTCTAAAGTGCAAATATAATATTTATTTACTATAACAACCAGTTACGATGAATTACTCAATTATAAAAAAAAATTGCATTATATGAATATAAGTGGTATAAGTAAATGTGTAACAGAGAGCTCACACATATTTAAAAATTTCATTAAAATTGGAACTAATTAAAAAGCACAAATTTGCTTATTTAAAAAAAATTAATTCAATATGAAATATTTCAGATGTTTTAGGTACTATTCATTATACTTAATACCTTGTCTCTATGTATTGTAAATTAACAATTAACACTGTGATACTACTGGATGCTACTGAAGATTTTGAAATTTTTCCCTTTTGTATAAATGGAAAGTTGTGGAACAAGAATGATAGTAAATTGGCATAAATATGGCTGACACTTCCAAAATTTAATAATGTGAGCAAAATGTGACAACCTGGAATTATTATTGCACTGTTTTAAATTGTAGATCCACTATTTTTGTATAAATTTTAACTCTAGTCATTTGTTAAATGTGTTCAGATAATAGAAAACCAAACTATATTTATATAAAAATATTTAAAGTAAGTGTTGTAGGAAAAATTGTGGTTCCTGAAACAAGAAAAAAGCACACATTGCAAATATAAAAGTATACTTTAATTCTGAGTATCTTTTCTATCAATACATTATGTTGGCATAGAAGGGTTAAATTTATTATTGCATAAAAATGCATTCAGAATTAGTCGGCAGTTTTTAAAAATACTTTAAACCCTTGAAACCCATTTTTCTGTTATAAATTCAAATATTTATATATTTTCAATCTTACTTTTTATTTTACTTCACTTTTGGAAATGTCAATTTTTGTATTATATTTTTTCCTAGATAACTGGCATGGCAGCTATGGCATTTTTGAAAAGATTAAAGACATATTTATTTTTTAACTTTTATTTGTTTTTTTTTTCTAATGTACATAAAATATAAGCATTTCTGCAATACAGTTCACTTCATATTGTCAATGTTGTGCTTTTTTAAATGAGTGCATGTGTTTTTAGCAGAAGTAGAATGGTTTGGGACAAAGTTTTGTATTTTTAGTAGGAGTGTTGAGTTTTTAAGAAATTTAAAATTTCACTTTCCCAATTAGAAATTATGTAAATTTGTTTTATGTTTTAGAAATTATGGAATATATTGTGTACTAATTAAAAAAAAGATTAACTTTGCTCCAATTCTTTTTGGAGATTTTTAAATTAAACAATTTTTTCTTAAATGGTGTCTAATTTTCTTGTTACAATTAAATTGAAATCCTAGATCAAAATCTCAAACCACTTGGGACTTGTTAGTAAAGGTTTACAGCTGTTTCTATTGTTTAGTTATTATAATTTATAAATTTAAATAAGTGGTCAAATTTCATCACTGATTCCCCCTCGAGTTAAAACTCATTCAATAAGTTCAAAATATTATATTTTAAACATACTTATCATTTTATGTATAAATATTTTTAAGTTTACATTTATAGAGTTGATGAATTAATTATTTTCCATAATTAACCACGTTTAACATAATAAACAATTTCTGCTTTATCATCTAAAAAGTAATATTTTACAAGTTTAATGAAATAAAAAATAATTTAATTTTTAAAGAATAAATCATTTACTAACTTCTGTGAGAAAAAAACATTTAGCCTTCAATATATAATGTGGGAAAAGTTGGCCACTTAAAAATAAATTGTCCATAACATTATTACTTCTAAAAACTGCTGAAAGTAGTTTTCTAGTCCAATTCAAAATAACTTGAAAAATTATTTTAAGTCCTAATATAGTAAGGTATTTTCTTGATTTTTAAAATAATTTGTAAATGTTATTTCTATTGTTGATCGTATTTTAATTATTTAAACACATTGTGTAATCAAAGCTCATTTGTTTTAAAATTTAACAGACATAGATAGACATCAATAGGTAATGATTTTCTTTAAAAAAAAGTTCTCTTACCTAATAATACAACTGAATCTATTGCTTAGTTAAAACAAACAGTTAAAAGAATTTCAAACACTTCATAGTTGGCTCCTAAAGTACCTATTAACCTTTTCTAAAATCTATACAAGCAAGGAATCACAAATATTCTTCAGTATTAAAATTCTAGTAACAATAATTTCTAAAATAGAGCTTTGACAAGATGTTTCACAATTAATAACTAGGTGAACACGCACTTAATACTTTTAAAAACTTTGCTTTACTTTTAATATCTGAATTTTTCTCTCTTTTGCAGTGTTTTAAATGTAGAGTGCATGTTAGAAAATCCATTTTTATAATTTGCTACTATTAGGCTACTTTCTTCAGGTCTATAGTTTTTGTTGAAAAGGATTCCTATGTTTTTCTTTGCATTGTTTACTTTCTTGTCTTAAGAAGCCTTCAGTATAGTGTGTTGTTTAAAACCCATATTTCAATTACCTTTAATGGTTATTTAGATTTTGAACATGTTAGGCAAATGTAATAGGAATATAGTAATTTAAAAAAAAGCTAGATTATTTTAAGAGGCTTTTTTTTAATTGTCAAGTAACTTGATGCCAAAGAGATACTATACTATAATGTAATTAAGCATTCTCTGGTCATGTTTTAATTTCACAGTAGTACTAAATTGTTTCCATAAATACTAAAACATAGCCCCATTGTTGTTGTTATTCATTTGATATATAATGCCATAACAAATATTATTCACCAGTGAATTTTTTTTCAGGATTCATAAGTGTTATTATAACTTATTAGAGAGTGGTTTTTCTAATGAAAGTAGTTTTTTTTTTTATTTTTAGAAATATTATTAGCTTGAATATATATGGTAACTATGTAAACAACTTTAAATTATTATGGATATCTCTCTACTTGATATGTAGTTTGGTTTATAAAACATTTCATATCTAGTGTTTTATAAAAAAACAGTATTATTTTTTAAATATTTTCCCATTCAAAAATTAAATTAGTTAATTTTTATTTTGAAATGTCATTCCCATAATTCATCCTTAGAAATAAAGAATTTGAGTTACAATATAACAGTAGCTACTTGAAAAATCTATTTAACTAATTGATTTTTTAAAAAACTTTTTTTCCTTTCTTAACTTGTATTCATGTTATATTTTTAAAAATTGATATTGTGGTGTCTTGTGGGTTATTAATTTATAGTTTTGTATGTTCTGCTTAATAAAAAAGTTTTAAATACTTTTTAAACAGCATTGCTTTTGTTTTTTCCCCCATCATCTAATAAATTTCACTTCATGAAGTGATAGTTTTTTTTAATGCTCCAAACTCCAAGATTGAAAGTTATTATTTCACAAACCATATACAAAGATGGATGTCTACTTTTGAAAAACAATTGGAAAACAATCTACCCCTTTCATATGCCAGTGCTTGAATGCCAAAGTCAAAGTGAACTAATATAAATATATTAAAAAAAGTTGAGTATAATGTTTCATTTCTTACATTATATCATTCAAAGCAGAAGAATTGGCAAAACCTACACAGAACTATTATACCAAAGAATTTCATTTTAAAACATGTATAATTAAAACAAATCCAGTGTTCAAAATGTTATCAATAACAGTGGTTCCTTAAAATGGTATGACAAAATATTGTAAAATATCTTGTCTGTGACTTGTTAAAAAACAATGTACTAAAATAATTGAAAATATAAAATCAGCAAGAAGTTTTGCATTGAAATAATCACATTTTAATCAACCAAGCATTGCTATTATAACCACTCCTCCCATAAATAAAATCAATAAGATAACTGGAGTAAGCCATCCCCAAACAGGCCAAAGGCTGACAGATAAACTGAAAAAAAAAAAAAAACCAGCATGAATAAAAAAATATGTTGAAGCTTAAGAATTTTAAAAATTTATTTTAATAATGCAATAGCGTAAAAAAATATTTTTCAGAAGCATTTTGAATTTAATACCTTTCTGAATCCACTTGGTTAGAACATCCATATAATCCAACTCATTATGACACATACAATAGTTCCCAATGATATATTTTTAGATGCTTGACCTAATTTTTTTGTCCACACATGTTGCCAGTGTTGTGTTAACGCAAAAAAACCAGACCTTCATGGTACATTAATCTCCCTAACCAAGAGTGAGCTAGAATGCCATCATTGATGCCCAGTTGCTAGGGGCATTGCAGTATGCTTTCTTGAGATACCCATTACATTACAGTAGGGTGCAAGGTTTCAACTCTTGGTTTGGATTAGTCAGTGAATAGCCAACTATCAGAAGTATAGGGTGCTCTTAGGGGATCCCTGGTGCTAAGATTACTAAGACACTGTAAGATAGCAGCTGGTTAACCCTGTCCTAAAATTTTTTTTAGTGGAGAAACTTTCCAAGGAGTATTCTCAACAACTTAACAGTTTCATGGCAATTGTATGAAAGGTTTAGTGATGCATAAATAAAGGACTGATACAAGATATATATATATATATATATATATATATATATATATATGCCATGAATAAATAATTACCATATAATTCCTAAAATAAATGCTGCTGTTGCTATAGGTACTGCCCTGGGATATTTGTTTTCCCATTCTTCAGAACTTATTTTCTTCCAAAAGCTCAACCAGAAAATAAGAAAAATTGCTATGCTTGCATGGAGACCCATAAAAAAGGAACCAGTCCAAAACCATGACCTGTAAATAAAAATCATTTGTTGTTATACAGTAAAAATTGACAAAAAACAAGTTCATATTTGATAAAGTTTGGGTGAAGCTAAAACACAATACTTAAAATAAAACTACACAACTTGATAGAAACCGCCCCCCTCCCCCACCATAAAAAATACTGCTAAACTAATTAATTTATGCCTAGAATGGAAAACTGGAACAAAGTAGTAAGTAAAAGTAAAGTTTCCCTTTCAAACCTGACGGTCTATGGGGCAAGTGAAGTAGAGTTCACTTGTTTCTGTGACCTCGGCATATGAAGAGATAGTGTGGTCAGCACTATGCCCAGCCGCCTTTACTTTCCCTAACAGGAGTTAGGTACCCATCAGAGTTGGGTGGACTCAGGGACGGTCTACTGACTTGAACACGGATTCGAACTCGAGACTAACGGGTTAGCAGTCCAGCTCTCTACCGCTAGACCACTCTAAACTGGAACAAACTGATGTTTAATTTTTATTGTCTTTATGCCTCAGTTAACTAAATTGATGTTATTTTTCCATGGTTACACTGTTTTTGTAGTTGTCTACTTGTCTATGTTTCAGAGTGTTTTATCCACAAGACCGACAGGGAATAGTTCTAGCCATTTTCATTTCACCCCACCCCCCCCCCCCCCCCCCAAGTCATATAATCTTGTTATTTAATTTTAGATAAATGTATAAAATTTTTATATCTTACCCTTTTATGCGCTGGTCATAAATCACAACTTTACCGAAGTCAGAAAAATAAAATACAAGAATAGCTAATCCTAACCACAGAAAATTTTGAATGCAGTAAGGGGATTGCTTTGCGGCTGGATTCCCAGAACTTCCATTTTTATTCTGGTTAAAGTTTGAATCTGTTGAGACAAAAAATTAAATAGTGACAAAATATTGTAAAAGATTTCTTTTGACTCTATAGAGAATATTAGCACAAAAAGACATAATATAAAAAAAAAAGAATACTGAAGGACATTTATAACATGTTATATCATTCAAAAAGCATGAAGACAAGAACTTGAAGAGAAAAATATTACTTCTTAATGAACATTTTTTAAATGAAACATCAATAACCAGACAAAATAGGAACCAATGAGAAGTGAGCTGCGAACTGACTTGCCACATGAGATGGTCATCTGACTATTGAAGTGTCAGCATTAGCAGTTGGACAATGGAGCATGTAGCAGACAGTCGTGTGTAAAAAATAAAAAAGCAGTTGTAGATAGATATTGTTAGGAGATAGTTGAGATGGACTTGGAGATTAGTTAGGGTAAAGTTGAGATAGTAGAAGTAGTATGTAGTACAGTGTAAAGTTAGGAGTAGGAGTTGATATGTGTAAATAAAGAAACAGTAATAGATTTGTTAACTGGACTTATGTTAGTTATTATTGATTTCACTAGAACTTCTGGCAGACTCATCTGAAGGGTCGATCCCTTAACCACGGGTGTAGGACAAAAGGCCGACAGACTATAAGGCCGACAAGTATAAAAATACTAATATCGCAAAATATGTGTTACTGTTTACCCCTATCTTGACAACCATCAAAATAAGGCATGAAATAAAGTGAAACGTTCAAGAGAAGAGGTGATGCTAGTTGCTATCATTATAAGGTGAACCATCGAGTCCTAGTGACTGAAGATTACGGGAGTGTCTTAAACACAAAGGATCAACACCTAAATATTGCAAAATGCCATCACTACTGTCTTTCATAGCTCCTTCTATGTCAACGAGGTGAGACAACCATCAAAGAACCAAGTCAAAAGCCGTCGCCCACGTGCAATAAGGCGGAATGCCAAGAGACAATGCTAGTGCCAAGAGACAATGCTAGCTGTTATCCTTATAAGGTGAACAATTGGGTCCATGCGACTGGAGTTGACGGGAGTGTACAAAGAAGTGTACCACCATATTTTGCAAACAAATCAAAGAAACTGAGTAAAGTAGAACGATCATGTGCCTTGACTGGACTACATGTTAAATACCGACAAACTTTGAATTATATTTTAGTTTTGACCATTGCAAATTGCGTGAAAAAAAGTCTATACTATATTTGTTGGATTAATTAATTCTGTTGTGATTGTGATACAAATGTGCCAGAATTTGTAAGTTATTTTTTATTTTAAAAAAAAAAAAACACTAAATTTGATATTAATAAACAAAATACAAGTATGCCTACATGTTGCATAATATACCTTTATCATTCTGTAACTGGTTTTCAATAAAAATTAAACATTATAATTGTAGTTTGTTATTTCATAAAACTTGTCGGCCTTTTGTCCGGATCCCCTTAACTACTCTAAATAGTACACATTACAGTGTATGGTGTATTTATAAATAAACATCATAATGAATCCTCACACCACAAAGCTAAAATAAGACACTACCACAATTTTTTATCTAGTAACTAGATCTAGTTCTAGATGTTTTTACTGCACATACATCTATATATATAATTCTCTTCTTGGATACGTTAGAAAACAAGCTGTAAGCGCGCCTAGCAGTCCCCTCTTTTCCTCTCTAGGCATAACGCAACCACCCCCACATGGTCTGGTGAGCTGTGGTTCAGGCTAAATGTATACAATCGTACAGCCGGGTTTAGTGACGCCTATTAGGGGCAGATAATTTAGTTTGAAACTATTTTAAACTTAGGGGAGGTAACTATGAGGAGGCTGCTTTCACGGGGGGGGGGGAGGAGGTTTTTAGTGTTTTAAAGCAAACATTTTCAGTGACAGCATTGGTACTGTCGAATTCACAAATTATGAATTACTGAAAAGTAGAAAATAAAACTAAATAGCGGCGTGTGATACGCCGCAGGTCGACTAGTACTAAATAGTCATAGATTTTACAACTAAAACTTGCATTTAGGCTCAACCTTACCTAGACCAAGGCCACATTTTTAGATCACACAGACTACATGTTCAACCTAGACTTGTTTGCTACATTGTGATGCTAAACCTCAATCATTTAGACAAAGTTTCTAAACCAACATATAAACCACTTTCTATTAGACTTCACTTCTAGGCTGGCACTTATTACTCACATTAAGAAGCTTCACCTAACTTTGAACTAAATGAGCAGCAGCACCTTAAAGATTATTTTAATAACATTTTTACTGTTCTGATTTTTTAAATTAATAAAATGACATTTGCCTGATTTTACCTACATCTACTTATTTCCATATTTTAACATGTTTTTTTTTTGCATTTGCTTTATTATGTTATTCTTAATTGATTTTTAGTACTTATGTTAGACAAATAAATTAGGCAGAATGTAAGTGTCTTTATTATCAATTATTAATGACTTCATAATCTTTGTGTATCCATTTCCGCATTTGATTTTTAATTCTATTTTTTTACTCTACAATCAATGCTATCATTAATTTGTGTTTACTTTTCTAGCTTTTAAAATTTAATTTAAATTTATTTTGACTTGATTTGCTATTTTCCCCTTAGTTTCAATTCATGTGATATCATCATCTTTGCTGATATTAGTTTTTATCTAAGTAACAAGGCAAAGTACCATTTTTAAATGTGTGTGTGTGGCGGTACTGGTAGTAGTAGTGTACCTTTAGTCATTAGACCTAATAAATTACTAATAATTAATTAGGCCTACTAATTTATTAAATATTAAATAAATAATTAATACCTAACTAATTTATTAAATTAAAATATTAGGCCTAAATATTTCAAATTAGTAAATTACTAGTACTAGGCACTACGCCCTATATTTAATATTAATATTAGTTCTTAGAAATTAATTTGAATGTCTTCTCACCAACTACCTAGATCTAATCTAATGTCAATGACTGTTTATAGTTTATACTTATAGTATAGGCTATCTATTTTACAATATATACCCATACTTAAAAACTTAGGTTGAAAATAAAACAGTACCATTCGTAGATTCGTTTGAAAACCTCTCACTAAACTTTTGTTGTACACGTCGATGGAATACTTCCTCCTCATAGTTCGCCATTTTGACGCTTTGCTAAGTAACAGACTGTTAGGCCTAAAAGTAAATACGAAAACCGTGTTTCTCTAAATTCATAATTTTCTAGCGCTCTTATCACAAGCTAATCTAGGTCTAGAAGATATTCTGATTATTCAATGATGTGATCTTATTAATAGGCCATTTAATTATAAGTAGATCTATCCAGAACACTAGCCTAAATCAAATTAATTTGCATTACGAAAATAAAAGCTAAATATTAAAGTAACATTGATAAACTCGTCCGTGATTAACTAACGTCACGACTCCACGATCCAATTCAACCTGCGGCGTTTCTATCTTCAATTTCAATAAGTGTTTAAATTAAATACTTGTTATAAACCTATGGGTTGCTCGATGTTACTAGATCTATTATGATTAGCCTACACGGTTAAGGGAGTAAAATTATGTCACAATTTGGGGAAGGGGGGGGGCAATAAAAAAACAGAGCTACTACAAAGATACAGACTTTTACCGCGTCGAAAATTAAGCGAGAAAAGTGTCTAAGTTCAACAGTCTAAGAAACACATCCTAAAAATTCAAGGGAAAGCACTTTCTTTTTCCAAAGGAAAAGTTTTTATTGGTGTTCAACTAACCCAATCGTCCAATAGAAATACAACCGCTATTTGTGATTTTTAGGCCTATTGTGAATTCTGACCAAAGCTTCGCTTATGGCTCTGGCTATGGCTTATGGTTAAAAAAGAAAACAATAGATCAGCATTCTAGAATACATTTGAATAGTTAGTAGATTTCTAGATCTTAGAAGCGTCAAAAGGTCAACAAAAATAGAAGTAGAGAGTAAGAAAATTTAACGATATAATAAATAATATAATAAAATAATTGAATCCTTTCAAAGTTTTGAGTTTAGTTTTGAGTTTTGACTCGAGGAAACTGGAAAGGTTCCTCAAAAAAAGTCAAAACTCAGTCAGTAAACTTAGTAAACTAAACTGCCCCAAAACTGTGCCTGATGAGTGATGATGACTCACTCGGTAAAACTCCATTTTAGCGTATTTTATTCCCCCCTTCACGTTCACCTCCAGTTGAGCGTATTTTATTTTTAACAATATAATTTTAAAATTTATAATGATGTATGCTTCAGGGCACTCTTCTGTATCAATTTCATCTAGCTAGAATCTAGATCTAGACATGTTTTCATACTGCCCAAACTTAACCAACTTTTACATTTGATGTTGCTGCATATGTCACAATCTCATCCACATTTAAAATACAGAGGGAAACAGCAATTTTTATTGTGTTATAGTTTTAAAACTTAATGTTGAGATGGTCACTTGAACTAAGCAGAGAAATTTGTTTTAATGCATGCTCCTCGTGTGTTAGTCACAATATTGTTTTAGCCATGGCCATGGCCTCATCAACCTAGTCTATAGTTTTTACAAACATGTAGGCTGATCTTATGTTATGAGACAGCTTTCTTGCCAGTAGAGCTGCATAAAACTATGAGTCTGGTCAAAAAGAATTACCTAATTTATTTTTGTAATCTGCTCAAATCACTGTTCAAAACTATGCTAATTGTTTTGTTTCTTTGCAGAATTTTTTTCATAATGGCTGCCCTTGGCTTTGAAGTTCATGTTGATAAGGAAAATGCACCTTCTATACTACACACTAAAGGATCAGCACTGAAAAGCTTTGGTTTAAGTAAGTAAAAACTGAGTAATGCTGTGTATGTAAGTGTGTGTGGGCGCTAAGCAGTCTCCCTTGATAATGCTTAAGTTTCCAGCTCCAGGAAGGTGAAATACATGGTGTGATGTTAACATACCTAAGTGTGCTAGTTTGTGCTTCTGTTCATTTGTAAATAAACTACTTAAATTGCATTTGCAAGCTTATTCCTATAATTTATGATCCAATGTTTACAAAAAGAACTTTTGTTTGTGCACCAAACCCAGTTGCAGATTCTTCTGTCACTGCTTATTGGAGCAAAGGCTGCCAACTACAGCTCTCTTGTTGTCTGTCTTGGACAATTTTCCCCATCTTAATAGTATCTGTCTCAAGTTCTCATCAACAGATGTCTTTAGGGTGCCTTGAGAATTTCATTTTTTAGGTCCTGTCTGGTGATTTAGTTTGGCCTATCATACCTAATCGCCTCCTTTATATTGCCTCCTTTATTCTTCTGACTTCCACTGCAATTGAATTGTCTTTTGCAAGAGTTTGGGGTTGATTTTGGTGTCTGCCCAACTTATCTGGATAATTCTTCGCATGCAGTTAAAGATTTGTCTGGATTTTTTAGTGTGATTGCCCTGACCAAGCCCAACAATTGCCAACATAGTACTTAAATCCTTAAAATTTGAAATGGTTTCATTAAGTTTTAAAAGTTAATTTATATATTATGACTTTTTACACACATTTTATGTCAGTTTAGGATCATATTTAAATGTATGGTAATATATTAATGCAACTCAGTATTATAGATGACGAATTATTATTTCTACCACAAGGAAACAATGGAAAACTTGCTCAGCCAACACCTCGTAAAGCTTTGTTTGATGTGAACCAAGACCCCAGGGGCCCTGTTGGAAAAAACTTTAACAGCATTGACATAAAACACAATGAAAAGCTTTTTAATCCAGTCAAACCTAAAGTGTCCTCTGGAGTAGAAAATCATCCTCAAGGTCCAGGTATCAAGAAATCTGAAACAAGGAAAACTCCTGCCCAGGTACATGAAGATTAGTTTTCAAATATAAATATACCCAGCCTACTATTGCACATGTGGTGTTAAGTATAAAGATTGTATTGGTTTAAAGGTGCAATATTATTTTGTTTTTTAACTTGTTATATGTTACAGTCGGTAGTGCAAGATCTATGTTTTGTATAACACATTAATTTTCATGTATAGTAAGTAGTCTTACTGGTCGCCTGATTTAAAAAATATTCTCAATGTTGGAAATAAGTAAATAAGTTTTATGTACATGTCTTTCTCATTGTTCGATCACTAACTGTTACATTTTTTTTAAATTTCAAAATTACCAGCAGTATAATTGTGAAAACTGATAATGGCTCATTTGATGAATCATGCTTTGATTAAAGACTCTAATGTCAATAATAAAGTGATCTAAAATAGAAAGTAGTTCCAGTGATTTTTATTTGGCATTTTAAAAATTGAATGTAATAGTAAAGATGTGGTTTATTTTTCATTTTTCTCAGTTTTATACTTATTTATATTATTAAGCAGTTTAGACTCATACATAATTAACTATTTTCCTGTTTGGCTTTCCTCACACATTTTTAAATATGCATGAGTGGATATAAAATAATTTTTATAGTTCCATGGTTGAAAGTGTCATTGTGTTTGGCTGTAGGGGCAACTGAATTGTTTTTAATGCCTGAACAGTGGTAAGATTAAAAAATGTGTGTAGTAGCTTAGTTTTGATTAACTCAGTCAATTTTGCTCTCATCTTCAGCACTCTCACAGAAAAAGTTTGAAAAACACTAAAAATGAACTTCCTCCTGTGATTTCTGCAACAACAAAAAAAGTCACCAGGAAACCTCCAGTCATACAGCAACAACCTGATAATGATGATTGTGAATGTAAGTTTAAGCCTTAATTCTTTGTTGTGGATTTAAGAAATGCCTAACATACAGTAAAAAATAAAATAAAACATTGAAAGGAGGGTGGGGAGGGTGTGATTATTTCCCTTTGAAATTTGTTTTCCACTCCAATGTATACTTTCAATACTTAGGCTACATGTTGATAATCTTGAATGTCAGCTGCTGAGATTGCAGGAGATATAAAATAATACAATATTTTAGAAACACTTTTTAAAATAAGGAATGAATACCAAAGTAAAAGTTCTGTTGTGGATTGGTAATCGTAAATTAGACATTGGATAAAGTTTTAATTAAAATGTGGAGGAAAATATTATCAAGCACAAACAAATAATTAATATGTTTCAGTGATGATGCACTTTAAAAGTAAAAGTAAAGTTCCCTTTTCAAACCTAACGGTTTATAGGGCAAGCGAAAGTAGAGTTCACTTGTTTCTGTGACCTCGGCATATGAAGAGATAGTGTGGTCAGTACTATGCCCAGCCACCTTTACTTTCCCTAACGTGAGTTAGGTACCCATCACAGTTGAGTGGACTCAGGGACGGTCTACTGACTTGAACCCGGATTCAAACTCGAGACTTATGGGTTAGCAGTCCAGCTCTCTACCGCTAGACCACTCCGTCCCTGGTGATGCACTTTAGTTAGCATTTATTTTTTGTTCATGTGGCCTATTACTAGCTAGTCCATGGCAAAGAATCCTAAATAGTTTAAGATTGTTGCAGCATCAACTAGTGTTAAACCAATCTAGGATAGTGTTAAGACAGTTGGTTTCATTATATTGGGGAGGGGGGGTGTATATTTAAAAAAATGTAAGCTAATGTTAAATTGAGCAGTGATATATATATATATATATATATATATATATATATATATATATATATATATATATATATATATATATATATATATATATATATCTAGATCAGGCTAGATACTAAGTATATGTAGGTATAAAACTTTACATACTCATATCAATTACTACTGTGTATAATGTTTTTAGTCTTTTTTTCTAATTTTAGTTGTTTGGTTTAACAATTTTATTTGTGCGCACGTCCCCTTTTTGCCTTCAAATTGCTCTTTTTTATGATTGCCAGTTCCTACTTTTGGTCAGGCTTGTCTGGGATTTATTTGGTTATGGACACAAATTGTATAAACTATTAACATTAAAATAGCAAAAAACAATCCTTCATTACACCATAACCCAATGCTGTATATAATTAGCTGTCATTGACCCCTATTATTATTAATAATTGTTTTCTCTGTAAGACAATGTTTTATTTTACAAAAATCTATTTTCACCAGATGATTCTGATACTATTTTTCCACGAAGTGAAAGATTAAGCACTTACGTTGATAAACTTTTGGCATGGCGTCCACCTTGTTTGTTTGGTACAATCCCTGACAGTGATACAGACTGCAGTGAACCTGAAGAAATTATGCATGAGGAAATATGTGAAATGCCTGTCAGTTTTGTACCAGGTAAATATCAGGCTTTGGTAATAAATTCTCAGCACTCGATATGACCAAGTGGACGAGAATCCATCCATCTTTATTGCTGACATAGATTAAAATGTTTTTTTAGATTTGTCAATCAAAGTGACTGTAAAAGTATTACAAAATTTAAACTTAAGCCTGAAAATAATTAGGAAATTCAGTATTGTTAGAATCTGTTATAAAAGTTGCTAATCCAGAGAACTTGAAAATAATTTCTATTTATTTACATCAAGCCTTAAGCTATAACCTGAAGTTTCCCTTGTGTAAGACAAACGATTGACTCTACAGGATCTCCGTGATCGATATTCTAAAAACCTTCACAGTAAACTATTATAAGTAACGAGCCGACCCGCAGCGTATCATACGCCGCTATTTAGTTGTTTTATTTTCTACTTTTCAGTAATTCATAATTTGTGAATTCGACAGTACCAATGCTGCCACTGAAAATATTTGCTTTAAAACACTAACCCCCCCCCCCCCCCGTGAAAGCAGCCTCCTCTTAGTTATTTCTTAGTTACCTCCTGTAAGTTTAAATTCGAACTAAATTATCTGCCCCTAATAGAAACCCGGCTCTACGGCTCTACGATTTGTAAACATTTAGAGTGAACACCGCTCACCAGATAATGTGGGGGTGGTAGTGATAGAAAGAGAGGGGACTGCAAGGAGGCGCTTGCAGCTTGTTTTCTAACGGCTCCCAGAAGAGAATTATATATATAGATTATGTACTCAAAACTTTACCCATACAAGTGTCCATTACTTAAATTTTATATTTTACAAACTACTTATTCTAGTATGAGGCTTATTGTTTTATTTTTGTGCAATATTATATATACATGTATAAATCGTATACCTTGTATAAATTTCTATTGAAAAAAAATGTTTTTTTTGTTTATAGTGCCTGAATTCTTAGAAATGGATTTGGAGAATTTAATGGATGAATTACCTCCCCTTGAGATTCCAGAAGAATTTGAAAGCCCTGAAAAAGACACATACATGTTAGACCAGACTCCAGATACTTCATTATCCTTAGGAAGCCTGCAAGTAATGACTGGTAGCCTCAATGCTTCCATCATGTCTGACTCTGGTTAGAAACTGTATAAGACTGACCAATTTGCATTTAGCTTGGGTGCTGTACACACTTTAGGTTTTGACCATGTATTTTTTAAATGTACACTATGCATACTTTTGACAATTATAAGTTTGTATTTAAATCTCTTTTTAACATTTAACATGTGTGTTGTAAAATAAACTTGTGACATAAAATTTATCTGTATTAATTTTTTATGGTTTTCTGGAATTTAAGGTGCCCTAAATAGTATTCAGCACTAGTGGTTTTAGACTCAGGTCATCACTTAGATCAGGGGTCTCCAAACTTTTCAGTCTGCTGAGGGCCGCATTAACTATCAAATATGGGGGGGGGGGCAGTTTCTTCCAGACATCTCCTTGGGGTGGCGAAGCCCCCCCCCCCCCCAACGAAATATAATTTATATAGAAATATATACAAATTTCAAGTGCCTCCCCCCTTCCCTAAAGAAAAAAAATCTGAAAGAAACATTGTCGGGGGCCGAAAACACACTCGAGGTACAAGTTTGCTTTCAAATTGTTCATCACGTATTTCATTCCAAAATTTGAAAGGTATTTTGATGCAAAAGTTATAATTTTAGGAAAGTCTTCAATGGGCTTAAAACTTATAAAAACCCTACCGCCCTTCTTTGAACTGTTCTCTAAGGAGGTCATTTGCTTGCAATTCACTGCTGAAAGGGCTTCAAGTGTTGGCCTGTACTTGTTCCAAAAACATGACAAGTTTGGATCTGAAGGGCTTAAGGTGGGTGTATAGATCAGAAACTAGATTTCCCTCTCCTGTAGATTTAGGTACAGAAAATTAAAATGGCTAGTTATGTTGGCAGCAGAGGCTGATTTCTTTACCCACTCTTCATCAGACATTAATTGCCTTTACTTTCCAGGAAGTAACCTATTTCCTTTTTAACTTAAATACTCTGCTCAGAACTTTTTCACACCTTAGCCATCTTACTGCTGTGTAATATGGTAAATCTTGCAATTCTGTGTTTGTTTCTTTTGACATGTCTATGAACTATCTATGGTTGAGCCCATGTGACCATATGAAATTCACCATCTTCACCAAAGGATTCAGTACACTGCTAATGCCCATATATTTTTATAATTTAGCAGACAAAGCTTGCTGGTGAATAATACAGTGCAGGAACCAGGCCTTTCTTTATGCCACTCATGTACTTTTCTCAATCAACAGTCAGGTAACAAGTTAGCCCCGTCCAAGTTATACTCAGCCATTTTTTAAACTCATTGAATATATCCTTTCCGGTAAAAGTGCCATATTATGTTCATGTCTTCATCCACACCTCTAATGAACACAAGCAGTTGAGAGGTGGAACAGCTATCCAGGGCCTCATCCAATGCAATAGAAAAATGGCGAAACTTGCTTGTATTTTTCGCTATTTGAGTCACAATGTTTTCACCAATGCCTGCAACATGGCGGGCAATGGTATTTGCACCCAAAGCTACATTTTCACTTTTTTTTTTTAACTTTCTGGGCAAAGTTACTCAGCCTTCCCCAACAAACAATTTTTTCGTGGGCAAAAAGACCCCTGATTTAGATAGAGAGGAAAATCACTAAAATTTACAGTTCTAGAAGGCCTAAAAGAACAGTGTAATATAGTGAGACTTGTGAAGTCAAGGGAACTCACTCTTCTTGTATTAGTATTATATTTATACTGTTATCTTGAGTGATGTCCCTTACATGTATATATATCTTGGTCTCTCGTCACTTCCGCCCTCTCTCGTTCCATCATGTAGTTGAAGGCCAATAAACGTTTTATATACAACCACATGCTTCTATCGTCAATCCATTACATCTGGCGACGAGGATAAACGATCCACTAGAAAGAGCACCTAATTACTCAAAAAGAGGTTTGCTAGAGCATATTGGCTAAGTATTTCTAGAATAATGGCGCTGTATGGCCAAATAAAAGAATTTGATTCGAATGATGAAACCATTCATGATTATCTAGATAGGTTAAGCTTTTACCTTAAAGCTAACGACGTGACGATAGAAGCCAAAAAGAGAGCTGTTTTGTTAACAGTCATAGGGCCTCAACAATTTAGGCTACTAAAGGACTTATGCGCACCAGCTAGTCTAACTACTAAGAGCTTTAACGAGCTGAGCAAATTGCTAACAGACCACCATGCGCCTACCCCATCAAAGTTTCTATCTAGAGCTAGATTTGACGGTAGGACTCGTCAACCAAACGTGTCAATATCAGAATACGTTGCTGCTTTACGTCATTTAAGTGAATTTTGTGAATTCTGAGACACGCTGGCTGACAGACTATGTGAAAAGTTTGTGACAGGTGTAAACAGTCCTGATGTTCAAAGAAAGTTGCTGCTCGAGTCAGATCTAATATTAGAAAAAGCAATACAACTTGCGACTTCATTCCAGCAGTCATCAGATGCGGCAAAATCTCTAACGCCCTCAGGGATCCATGCAGTAAACAGCAGGTTAGTCAACAAACACCAACCCAATCAGAGCATTTCAACTTATGCTAAACAGCATGCACGTTCAAATCCTAGATCTAAATCTAGTAATAATTATCAAAAATGTCATCGATGCAAAGGTCCCCATGCATCTCATCGATGCAAGTTCAAGTTAGCAACTTGTTACAAGTGCAGTAAGCAAGGTCACATTGCCAAGGCCTGCTTTGCAAAATCTTCGTCTGTTGCTAAATCTAGCCAGTCAAGACAGTACCGCAACCAAAGGCAGCACTATGTTAACTCTCACCAAGACTACCTAACCCAACCAATGAACCACTCTACCTGTGAAAATGCTCAAACTGATTCGCAGCCGGATTTCAACCTGTTCTCTGTGAAATCAATAAGTCATGCTCCCATCAATGTACCAGTTTATATCAACGGTAAGAGCATCAGCTTCCGATTTGACACTGGAGCATCTCTAACAGTCATCACAAAGAAGGACTTTGACGCTGTCACAGGAGGATCAGTGCCTCTACAACCATGTCACAAGTGTCTAACAACATACACTGGTGACAATGTTCCGGTAATAGGAGAGTGTATGGTTCATGTAAGTTATAATGGTCAAAGTGTTAAACTTCCTCTTCTTGTGATTGAAGGAAATGGACCACCATTACTAGGTAGGAACTGGTTAAGTGATCTTAAGTTAAATTGGGAGAGTATATTTTCAGTAATCAATGCAAGAGAATCTAGTCTTACTTCAATAGATAAAGTAATATCTGAAAATAAAGGTGTTTTTGGTAATTCAGGATTACTAAATGATAGAACAGTGAAGTTAAGCATTAAAGACACAAATCCAAGATACTGCAAAGCTAGAGTTCCACCTTATGCAATGAGGGATAAAATTGAAAATCAGCTAAGTAGATTGGAATTTAATGGCATCATAAAGAAGGTAGACTATTCCGATTGGGCAACGCCCATTGTGCCAGTGTTAAAGAAGGATGGTTCTGTAAGAATTTGTGGAGACTATAAAGCCACACTGAATAAGCAAATAGAGCTAAATAGGTACCCTATTCCTAACATTGAGGAAATTTCTTTGAATTGGGCAGGAGGAGACAAATTCACTGAATTAGACTTTAGTCATGCTTACACTCAACTAGAACTGCATCCAGATTCAAAAGTCTATACGACAATAAACACACATAAAGGACTCTACCAATATGAAAGACTATGTTTTGGTATATCATCCAGCCCTGGAATTTTCCAGGCTGTCATGGATAGTATTTTTAAGGATATTCCAAATGTTTGTGTTTACTTTGACAATGTGTACATAACTGGTAAGAATGACACTGAACATCTTAAAACACTTGATAAAGTCTTGAAAATAGTTGGTGAAAAAGGTTTAAAGATAAACAAAGATAAATGTCAATTCATGCTGACAGAAATTAGTTTTCTTGGTTATATATTAAGCAAGCAAGGTATCAGACCTCAACCTGAGAAAACAAAAGCCATTAAAGAAGCACCCAAACATGAAAATACCCAACAACTAAGAGCTTTTTTGGGCTTGATAAATTACTATGCAAAGTTCATAGGGAATCTGTCTGGTAAACTATCACCACTGTACAAGCTGCTACAGAAAAATGCAACTTGGCACTGGGGTAAACAACAAGATGCTGCTTTTAATACAGCAAAAGAAGCTTTGTCTTCTGACACCTTACTAACTCACTATGACCCAGGGAAAAGACTTATATTAACATGTGATGCTTCACCAGATGGTGTAGGAGCAGTCTTGTCCCACATGGATGAAAAGGGTGACAGACCCATTGCTTTTGCCAGTAGATCTTTGAACCAGGCTGAGAAAAATTATTCTCAGTTAGATAGGGAAGGCTTAGGCATCATTTTTGGTGTTAAGAAATTTCATAAGTTTCTGTTTGGTAAAGAATTCACCATCTTTACAGATCATAAACCATTGCTAGGTTTATTTGGAGAAAACAAACCCCTACCTGAGCATGCCTCACCAAGAATTCAAAAATGGGCTATCACACTAACTGCATACAATTGAAATACAAACCTGGATCTGAAAATAGTGCAGATAGTCTTAGTCGATTACCTTTAAAAAACCAAAGCCTTAGCTATGTACCAGAAGATGTATTTGTTCTCTTCACTATCATGGATAACTCCAATATAAATGTGAATGATATTAAAAGAGAAACACAAAAAGATGAGTGCTTAATAAAAGTATATGAGTACTGTAAAAATGGTTGGCCTGAAGAGTCTGTGAATGATGACTTAAGGCCATGTAAAATAAGAAAAATGGAATTAAGTCTAAAAGATGGAGAAGATGCAGTCCATTATCAGTCAGAGTTGCCTAAACAAAGTATTTGTAACTTAATAAATGATTATGGTGATATGGCAATTTCAAATGCTTTTAAAGAGAATACATTAGTAAGAAGGAATGTGATCATCAAACAACTTTGCTAACATCATTAGCACTTACAGAAACTAAAAGGGTAACATCAAAAGAAAAAAGATTTTTGCCATTTAATACACCCACTTCAAATACTGGATCACAGTTGCAAATTGATATGGTCCAGGATAGTACTTTTAAACAGTATTTTTGGTTACCAGGAAAGCACTATCAGATTACCTGAGAAAATTGATCAATCAAAGAAATCTATGTCAGTCAAGGATCTGAATAACAGCATAATACTTCCAGATGCCAATTCAAAAATAGTTCCATTAAATCATGACAAAACATG